GCAAGGCGGATTGGACGTTGGTTAGATTTTGATAAATTTTTAACCTACTATATTATACTGTAAAATTATAATAACCATATATATTTGAGGGTTTATTTGACAAGCCGACATTTACTTGTTATATTCGTTTGAATAACCAAATACCAATGTCAATTTAGTATCAGTAAAATCAAGCAGTCAGGCTTTACTTCGAATTTAACAAGGAAAAAAACAACCATGCCACCCCTTATATTAATGTTTAGCCGTTTGAAAAATGACTTGCGTACTAATTCTGGTTCATGCTCACGCTTCATACTATTGGTCTAACCGTCTAGGTCAAATAGATAAACCAATGTAATCCAAACAAATGTTACCATGCGTAGGAACTTCCGATGAGGAAACTATTTACTATCAGTCACTTGATGAACAGTTCGTGCAAATAAGTATATATATTCACTTGATGAACAGTTCGTGCAAATTAACCATCATATAAACTCGAAGTCTTCTGATCTATAAGTCTATAACCGCATAATTGCATAAAATGTTTGCACACAAAACCGTAATTGTATCTTGGAAGTATTAGAATCATGGTCGGATTCTGGATTTGCTTACTTAGTTCTACAATAATCTTCCCATCTTTATTTACATAAATCGTTTTAGCTGCTTTACATAACAATACGTTCACAACTTCGCATAGAATATAATGAGACTGTCATTTTTTAATATGTTGTTTGTAAGTTGCCTCCCGAATTGGGCTGAACAACTCCTATCATTTTTTTTATTTTTTTTTTGTTTTCTTACGGTTAAATTCTTTCACCAATCATTTTCTTGAAACTTCGAATTCGATCCGGCCACCATTTATACACCGATGCAACGAACCACTGGCCACGTATTCTACTGACATGGAAGAATGTACACGTGTACGGTATGAATCAAACCACCTTGCCAATTCTCTGGATATGGAAAGCGAGGATCTAGGACAGGACAGGACAATGTCAAAAGCCACGCAAGACGACACTAGAAAATTTCTCAACATCGGGAATTAGGTATGTCGTATGTCCCACCTCAAAAGCAATATTTTATCGTATTCGAAACTTTGTGGTCTCCACTTATATAACTAGATCTACGCCACACGTCTTCATCTTGGTGCTTAAAACGATCTGATACACTAGCTTTGTACAAGGTCCGTGGACGTTTACACGTGTTTACCGGCTATTGAATGTCACAACAATAATCTCTAAGGTACGAAATCTTTCAATTCATAATTTACTCGATACATAATGGGCGGTGTATTATTTAATTTGTATTATTATTTTCTAGATTTAGTTTGATACAATACTTTATATATATAATTCATAGTTTCCAGAGAGTATAACAAATTATTGGTGATTAAATCATACTATAATTATTATGGGAGGCATTTTATACGGGACCATATTTGTATCGACATAAGTCGTATTGATAAAACTTGAACGTGGCATGATCTCAGAGGGGGTTCATAGTTGACTATTTTTTTGTAGTTATGAGCTCGATGTGTACGTATATAAGTCAATTTTCATTTGAATTTGTTCACATTATGGAGAAATTAAAGTAGGGCCTCGATATATATATTTCAAGTTCCGAAAAAGAGAGAGTCATAGTTCATAGTACATTGCATTGCATGCGTTTAATTAGGGTTTTGCTTCAAGTTAATTGACATAGTATATATATATATACTAGATTACTAGAGTAACCTGTGATTTTTACAGCTCTAGTGTGTTGATTGACTTTGCCGATGTAGATTTCGTTATATATATACCATCTAACTCAATATGTGATGATGATAATTCTTTGAACCATCATTATTAATTAGATCAAGTTTGTTTTTGAGTACGTACGTACGTGATTCATGTAAACAACGCGATATCATGTAAAAGATCGTGTTACTTTTGTTAAAATACAGGCAAAACCGATGTTTGTTTAAATATATACTAGATTGGGAAATAATTACTTATATATAATCTTTAACGGATTAAAATATGTTACATTTTAATTTTATGCACTGAATAATATATTTGTAGAATAAATTTAAATATAATAATAAAGGAAATAAGCGAGTAAATAATAATATATTGAGTTTTGACACAACTAAAAAAACCAGTGAAAATTTAACAGCACGAAAGAATATTTATCGATAAATTATTCAGTTTTACCATTTTTGTAGTAGAAGTAGGAATATACGTAAAAGTCACATACTTACAATATATTTTTGAAAGACCAACCCGTAACATAATTCATTTCGTAAAAAACATTATTCATAAGTCGCTTTAATATTATAATTGTGATTTTAACAAACTACACGTGAACTATCTAAAATTTACGTAGTTTGATATATAATATATTTTATCAAAAAAATTATGTCCCCAAAATTACATCTATGTCTCCAACAAAATATTTTTAATATTATAAATTCTAAAATTTTTATATATTGAACCTTTTAATTATAATATTTTGAAAATTTTTAAAGTATTAAATATGCTCATGTAATATTGGTTTTACTATTGGTTATACTTATAATGATTTTAAATCATTGTCCAAAATATTTAACCGAGTGTAGTTGAGTATTATATGTCCGTTTTGAAAAATTCGAATTACAACATATGCAAAAACGAAGTTAAATTTTTTTAAAACATTTTTATTATATAGTTAATATCATAAATTAAAAATAGGATCAAATAAAAGTGAAAGAAGAATAATATTTTTAAAATAAATTATATTAAATAAGTTAGAGAAATATTTGGAAATCCTAAAGTTAGTTATGGAAATAATATAATCTTAAAATTAGATATAAAAATATCCGATGTATGTACCCAAACTCAATTTAATATCCAATTTTGATGTGTTCAATTGTTAAAATCGGGTTAAATTTTTAATTTTGACCCGACCCGTATTTTATTTTGTATTTCTCTTTTAATAATATAGAGATTTGGTGGTGGCATAAGAGAGACTATGATACGTTCTAAGAAAATGGTTATGTACACATAATCACTCAAACTATTATATTTTTAATTTGAACTTTCTCTACTAAAAAAATTTAACAGTTTGCTTTTATATTTGAAAGGTAAGTCCGATGTCAATTTTGCTATTGAAAATCGTAATATTTGATTAGGAAATCCCCTACAATAAGTTAGGATATAGTTGAAGGTTGTTATGGAAACTATTTAAATGTTCGTAATATTTGTTCCTAAACACGTTTTCTAGGGATATTTTGAGTGAGAAAATTTTGAACAAATAAACTTCCATATATGCAAAGATATTTAATTTGTAAAAAACATCAGTGATTGTAATAAATTGCTGGATATATCCAATATCGCCGGATAATCCATTTTCTTAGTATCCAATTAAAGTTTGTGGGTTATAATTTTTTAATTGACCCGACCCGTTTACACTTTTGTACTTCTCTTTTACTATAATAGGGATACATGACTTAAACTAATTTCGATATTTTCATCGTCCATGTTTTTGTAAATAAGTATATGCATATACTTTTTTATAGTCGAGCAATGAATGATGATGAGTAATATAATTTACAGCTTTCATAAACCTTATCAATCTCCTTTGTTTTTTTATTTTTTATGTTTGCAAAAGATTCATTAAATTATTAATTTTATCATCTGTTTTCGGTTAACAAAATTTACTTCTGCGATAATCTTCCTAGAACTATAACAACAAGTTTGTGAAAATTGTTGAGCTGAATTTGAAACTTGGTTAAATCAATAGAATTCAGTTACATATTTTATTCCTTTAAAATTTGAAAATATAATGTTATGCTCGGACTAAAAAAAATTGTGTGCTACGTTTGGCAAGATATATGATCCACCACACCAATTACCAACACATAAAATTGGGACCAATCACATAATATTGGCGTCTTAAGCTTCGTACCTTATAATTTATATGTATGTTTGTTTTGTGCCCACTTCATTGAACTCTCTAGCACAATTATACATTTACCTTCGAGTTAAAAGTATATTTCTAGAATTTGAAAATCATCAACAGTTATGATGATTCAATGTAAATCAAAATATACACGTAAGTGAGTATTGTTTGATGTATCTTCAGAAGGTTATGGTGATTAAATTAATTAGAGACTAAAAAATATTAGCATAACAGAAGAAAACACCATCCATCAGCAATCTAAGAACATAGGCTTGGGCCTGATGGCACAAGTTTATAAAATATCAGTTCCAAAATTTATAGGCCCAATAGTACATTGTAATTAGATCCAAAGAGACAAGACCACACAAAATGTATGAAAAAAAAAAACAGAGAATAACATATGAAGAAAGCAGAGGACATATAAATTCATAACTTTGACATATTATAAAACGTAGCATCAAGCAATCCCATTACTTAAGACTGAGAGACTAAAGTTAGAAGCGGGAGAGAGATATCTGTCTGAAAGTCCTAATAAGTTGTCTTGCTCTTCTCCTTCGCTTTTCACAACTTTTATCACCACATCCTAAAGCTGCAAACAAACAAAAAAAGTTACACAAGAACAATTCAGTAAAAGTTCAAAACTTTATTCAAAAGTTAGGGTTTATTAGATTTACTTACATGTAACTCAACGTAGTCAGACAAAATCGGAATTTAGATCTCCCCTAATGGAATCTTTGTAACTCAACATCGACAAATCTTCACAAAACCCCAATAGCTGCAGTGTCATCATCTACTGAGCTAAGTGGCACGTAATGCACTGGATTAAAGTTTTAAACTGAATTAGTTTTATTTCATAAACACTTTTATTAGAAGAACACTGGACTGAGAAACAGAGAATTTGTGAATTATGAGATTGATGAAATCGAACGGTCAGAAAACTACTACCAGCTTTACTTATACAGCTTGCAGATCAAGCCACGTGGCTAAATTACGGTTTGACTCCTCTCATAGTCACGGACACGTGTTCCCAAGCCCTACTTACTTCATATACTGGTCTTGTCCAAAATACAAACCGAGAAAAGCTAAGAAAAACTCAAGAGGCGGTGGTGAGAGTGTGATAAGAAGAAATAGAAAAAGAAGAATTCGACGGCAGCAAAGATGAGTTCCGGTATCGGAAGTTTAGTGAAGGTCATCTTTAAGAACTTCGACGTCATCGCTGGGTAACTTAACTAGTAGTATTTAGCTTGCTTATGATTTTTTTCTCGTTTTTTTTAATTATTATTATCCCATTAATTTGATCCTTGTCGTTGTGCAGACCTGTGATTAGCTTGGTATATCCTCTGTAAGTCGCATAAAAGATATCTCTTTATTTGCCTGAGAATAATGTCGAAATCTTAAGCCCTTCTTCTTGTTAACATTTTTGGTTTATTAAACACAGATACGCATCAGTGAGGGCAATAGAGTCGAGGAGTCATGGAGACGACAAGCAATGGTTGACGTATTGGGCTCTCTATTCACTTATCAAACTCTTTGAGCTCACTTTCTACAGAATCATCGATTGGTAAATACAATCTTAAGCTTCCTTGATTTGCAAGCTTCTACTTGTGAAAAACAGAGTCGGGCATGTATATATATATATATATATTGTTTCTCATCACCTTATAACGTGGGGACTTAAAATATCGATGTGTTGGTATGATCAGGATCCCGTTATATCCTTACGCGAAGCTAGCTCTAACTAGTTGGTTGGTCTTACCGGGCTTGAGCGGGGCTGCTTATCTCTACGAGCACTATGTGCGTTCATTCCTTTTAAGCCCACATACTGTTAATGTATGGTACGTGCCAGCCAAGAAAGATGATGGCGACTTAGGAGCAACCGCAGGCAGATTTACTCCTGTAAATGATTCCGGCGCTCCTAATGAGAAGATTGTGAGCTCGGTATGACCTCCTTTTAACTCTTTCCAAAACCCTATTGGAGCTAGACCTGAACTGATGTTTGATTGATCATTGAGACTCGATCTGTTTGCTGGTTGTTTGTTGTTTCTATCTTCAGGTGGATACATCAGCAAAATATGTTGGTCACTCGGCCTTTGATGACACCTATAGCTACTAGTTCCTGACGTGGTTGTGATCTTTAATATCGTGACCAATCATAGTAGTGTATCATATACTTTGTTTTCTCCTTTTCCGTTTTCTGAGTTCTTTATGATAAGTTGTTGTTACTGTTGAGAAATTTTAATATCGAATAAAAGACTTTTACTCTTAATTTATGTTCGTGTTATAAAACCAAAACTAACAGGTGAAGGGAGTATACAATATACATACTAGATAGGTGCACGAGTTAAAGTAAGCTTAATTAACTGACAACTGTGGCGTTTTACAATTGTAAATTTGTAAAATGGTTTTTATGATCGATCAATGATAATTGATAAGACCTGGCGTTTTTAAAATAGTAACTGACGGGCTCGTATTAGCTAATAGTTATATATAATTGTTGAGTCGGTACGCGTCTCAAACCGGACCTTGAACAAGTAGTAGTATCATATGATTCAGCAGATTCTCAAGAAATGGTAAAAGACAAAACACTTTGAGCTGTAAATAGGAGGAAGAATCAATATGGTAGCTAAGATCTATTCGTTTTCTTTACACGTTTGTTACCAAACATAGTAGTAAAAAAATATCAATTCATAGCTCTTTTAATATAAAAAAGTCTATACAGGTATAGTTTACAAGCAGATGATCATCATGAATTCATCATGTGAAAGCCTGTCACGGAAATAAATATGTTTCCTCTTTTTTTCATCCTCACAGAAGTAAGTATGTTTAATGTGTGATGCCGTATTATTTTGTCATTTAAAAACGACAGAAGAAATTGATTTTCTACCTTACAAATGTATGTATATTGTTAGTGTTAACGTACATCTACTTTTAATGCTATTTCTCTGAATAAAAAGTCTAAACATGAGGAACCTTTTTAAAAAATGTTAGCGGATAAAAAAAAGGTAAAAAAAATAGAGGGAAAAAACGTAAAAAGAGAAAAACCAAGTCTCAAATGGGAAGAAAATAAACCTTAAAAAAAAAAAAAACTGTACGTTTCCTTTAGAAGTGTAAAACACATAGATAAAGTAAAGTAGCATGTTACTAGAGTAGTAAGTTATTAGGAAGAGACAAGGCTCACGTGGGAAGAGGGGCGTTACATATTACAGTCCAAATCAGCATCGTTATTATTATTGGTGAACTGATGACATTTTAGCTGTAACCGAAACGAACCTATAAACAACAACTTAATGCCTTCCTTTTCCCTACTTATAATATTATAAAAACTCGTTTCTTTGTTTAGCTTAAACCCAAAATATGCCTGCCTTTTAATCTTAAAAGTAAGCTTTAATTATTATTAAAAAAATTTAAAAAATTATCTCTGTAGTATTTTAGTTATATTCGTTATATAAACCTGCGCTTCTCCGTCCTTTTCTCTCTGCTTCAGTTTCTCTTCCTAACAAGCAAAACCCAAAACAGATCGAATCAATTTTTTTTTTCTTTTTCTTTTTTTTTTTATAATAATTTGGGAGGGGGGTTTTTTAATTTCACCTAACCTAATTGATTATCTTTTACCCTTTAATCTCTCATTGCGTTGCATCTGAGTTTCCTCCAATTGAAACAACAACAACAACAACAACAACAAGAGAGAGTTTTTTTTTTTGTTGTTGTTCGGGAAAGAAGGATTCAAAAAATGGCGACGAACATTGGGATGATGGATAGTGCTTACTTTGTTGGAAGGAATGAGATTCTGAGTTGGATCAATGACAGGCTTCATCTCAATCTCTCTCGTATCGAAGAGGTTCTTCTTCTTCTTCTTCTTCTTCTTCTTCTTCTTCTTCTTCTTCTTCTTTTGTTGTTGAATTCTTGTCTATCTATCTGCATGTGTGTGATTTCTTCATTCTCTTGCATTGTCCATGAATTGATTAATACAGGACGTGCCTTTTCTGTCTTTAAGGGTTTTTCTTATATAATAATGTCGGTGGCTTTGAGTGATTCGATTTTGAGAAATGCAGTGTTGTTGATCTGGTGCAATTTTGTCTGGTAAAATTTGGGGGAAATGGGGTTTGATTTGTTTCTCATGATCTAATTGATTTTGTCGGTGAGCTGCTCTCACTCTGATTCTTGAATTGTCATTCCTGATTCCGTACAACTAGTGAGCTTATGACAGTCTAAAGGAACTCTTTTTTTTTGTTTTGAGTTTTCTCGGATATATCTGAAAAACAGGTTCTGACTCATATGTAAAGATCGAATTACATTGACTCTCTGATGATTGTTGCTGTGTGTGTGTCTTTTGATGATCAATGCTTCAGCTACCGGTAGCAACACATTTGTCTCTTGGTTTCTTCTTTCTGTTTTGGCTTGCACATGAGTTTATTGTTTTCGTATGTTGTATAAATCCCACAATTTTTCAGTTTTCTTTTCGAAAGGCTTCAAGGTTCTTTAAAAATGATTATGAAATGGAGTTCCTTGCTTTAGATACTGTTTTAAACAGGATGTTAAAAGAACAGTTCTTCAAATTTTGTCTTGCTTGTGAGACTGTTTATCTAAGTGGCTATGTTTGGGTTTTGATAGGCTGCATCCGGTGCTGTGCAATGTCAAATGTTGGACATGACCTTCCCAGGAGTTGTGCCAATGCACAAGGTGTTTTTTTTTTTTTTAATTGCCAACTCTTCTTTGTTTCTTGCAATCGTTTCTTCTTTGCAGAGCAATCTAAATCTCCCACTTTTAGGTTAATTTTGAAGCTAAGAACGAGTACGAGATGATACAAAACTACAAGGTCATGCAAGAAGTCTTCACCAAATTGAAGATTACAAAAGTAATTCTTTTTATTAGATATCTTTTTTCCTTACTTTTTGTTTGAGATAAAGATACTGTATGCTATTTGACTTTAACTTATGTACATCACTCACAATGTTGTCTGTCTTACTGGGAAATAAATCAGCCATTGGAAGTCAACAGGCTTGTCAAAGGCCGACCACTAGACAACTTGGAGTTTCTACAATGGCTGAAGCGTTTTTGCGATTCCATAAACGGCGGCATTATGAACGAGTATGGACTTTTCAACCTTCCTTGTCGACTTTTTTTTTGTTTGTTCTGTATTAATAACTAAAAGTCTTCTTAATGGCACTGTAATTGTTTCATTGTTGTAGGAATTATAATCCAGTAGAACGAAGATCAAGAGGTGGCAAAGAGAAATGCGTAAAGGGATCTAGTAAGATCTCAAAGTCGTTGCAAACAAACAATATGCATCATCCTCCTGTTACTACTTCCAACAAACCATCTGGTTCTGCCATTTGATTTAGCTTCTCTTATCCTTCTGCTTGCCTATCCAATTTAGAAATTTCTCAACGTTGTTGAAAATTGTAACACCTAGGTCCCAAGCAAGCAAAATCACATGCAGTTGGAGGTGGGAGCAACTCATCAGCCGAAGTGCATGCTCTGTCAAAGGAGGTAAGCAGCATATAATCATCCCTTTTGGTTTCATTAATTTCATGTTAGTGAAAACAAACCTGTAATGAAACCTTCTTTCACAATGGCAGATAGCAGATCTCAAGGTCTCGGTCGATCTCTTGGAAAAAGAAAGAGACTTTTACTTCTCTAAGCTCCGGGACATAGAGATACTCTGTCAGACCCCTGAACTCGAGGATCTTCCGGTAAATGCAATCTCATGCCTTTTCTTTTTTAATGTCTTTGTTTCTCTTCGTTTGTGTGAAGCTGACAATATATGTAATGTTGAAACCCACAATATGTGCAGATAGTGGTAGCAGTTAAGAAGATATTATATGCAACCGATGCAAATGAATCTGCACTAGACGAAGCTCAAGAGTGCCTAAACCAGTCTCTAGGGCTTGAGGCTGATGAAGAAGAAGAAAAAGAAGAGGAAGCAGCAGAAGAAGAAGCAGCAGAGACCCAAACTTAAAGTTGTTGACAAATAAAAGTAGAGAACAACGATGGTCCATTGCCTTGTCTTAGAAGATAGATCACTTGAGAGTTGAGAGGGTGTTTGCTCAATATTCGATATACCCTAACCGGTTTTTTGGTTTTAAAAAAGTGAACCGAACCGAATTTGCTCCGTCCTAAATTTGAAAGATTATCCGATGGGTCTAATTGTATCACAATGTTTTTTACAATATGTGTCCCAATAAGTAAAAATTAAAATTAAAAAAATAAATAGTTCTATTGAATTATTAAAGGCGGTAAAGACCATCTCTTAGCTTGGATTTGGAAGTAGAAAAAAAGAAAACTACAAGTAATGGCAGTCAAGTTTCCAGGTGCATGATACTTGCTCACTATGTTCCACTGATTTCAACCTTCCTCAAAACATTCTTTTGCAGATCATAATAGAGAATGTAATAAGGGGAAGACACGGATCTGGGAGCTAAGATAAATAGCAAACACATACTATATTATCGGGCTTGGAAAATTTATAATAAATAGTTTCATTAAGTATTATTAAAAGGCAAAAAAAAAAAAACAATGAAAATGTTGATAAACTACTTAGACCGGAAGAAGAAAAAAACAAAGTAACTGGCATTCAAATTTCCAAGTGCACGATGCTTTCATAATTATCCGTCCGCATGACACAAGAGTAGGCGATACTAAACCACCTTTCTGAGAGAATTAGAACCTTTCGGAGATGATTCTTTTGCAGATCATAATAGAGAAAGTAGTAAGGGTTAGACCACGGTGCGGGTGACATGACAACCTCGCCGTTTAGAGTTATACCATCTACATCAATCTCGTCAATGTCATCAAGTAAATGCATCTGACAAGGCTGCAAACCCAGAGATTTCCTCGACCACTCCCCAGCATCTTCCAAGATCCATAAATCCAACAAACCCTTTTCTAAAAAATCGGTGTAATTAATAATAGCTGGCTTTCCACAATACTCTTTAACTTCCACCCACTCACCAAATTCATACAGCACATCAGGTACTCGGATCATATTGAACTCTTCAGACCTAACGTCAAAACTGTAAACAATTCTTCTCTTATATGTACTAGTAGAAGCCAAGTAATATATAACCCCGTTGATGCACGGTCCTGTTATTCCAGGTCTATGATGATGTTGATCAAACTCAATTCTTTTCCATGAACCTCCGGCTTCTAGTACAAACACCCAATGCTCCGAAGTTATCCTCTCAAAATCTTTTGAGAATACCACAACCGTGCAGACTACTTTGTATTGATCAAGGACAGGATCGTGTCCGAGAAAGTAGCGGATACTCTTACGTAAACCTTCTTCAGCAAAGATGCTGTGATTGACGGCCGGTAAGGTTACGCTTTGTCTGGTGGTGGGATTATAGATGCACGCTTTTGCGCAAACGGTGTATAAAATCAAGCCGCGAAGAGTAACGTCCATGTATTGTCCTCCTACCCCTAGTATTGTCGTTTCTAGGTCAAAAGACTCAGCACTACTACTAGACGATGATGAGAAAGATAGCAGTGCCGAGTCACCTGCTTCACCCACAAAACCTATGTACAGACGAGGTTTGGATGCCACCGTAAGATCATAACAATTGCTAAAGTATCGACAACGGATAAGAGAAGACCATTGCTTTGAGACGCACTTGAACCTCATCAGCGATTTAGCTGGCAATCTAGTCAGGATCCCGATCAAAAGATCCATGGGAATCCTCCGCGCGGCCACATCGTCTCCTCGTCGTCTTCTTATTCTTCGTCCTCGTCTCATCGCCTTTAACGGCCTCTTCTTCCGTTGAGAATACAGAGCCAGAGCCAGAGGTGTAGATAGAGCCATAGCTGTTATTACAATGTCCTAATGATTCACAAGCACCCACAAAACACTTTTATATATCTAAAAACCTATTCATTAATCATATAAGAGCAGGGGAATTTAAAGAGTTAGGCGACTTTATATATCTAAATTCTAAAACCCTGTAACCGGTTGGCCCGGCCCTTCTGATATTGTTTTTTTTTTTTTTCAGAACCTACACTTTGCGCATTCTTCTAAGATGGCAAATACAACAACAACAATTAATGGTCTAGTAGGTTTTACCTCGCCATGTGCTTATGTTCCCTAGACTCACCACTACTACCAAAGGTCTTGTAAAATTTAACTATAACATATAACCAAGATATAAATACAATTACAGTAGTAGCTGTTATGTGTGTTCCAAAATCATATTACCATTGATTCAGTACTTATGGGATTCTGATCAATAACATATATTTGGGTGCAAATAAAAACATAAGTAAAATAGATACACTATATAGGTTCACTGTATCATATTAAAGGGAAAAACAATTAGAGATGTTGATAATATTTTAGATTGGGAGAGGAAAAACAAGTAGTCAGCATTTAAGTATCCAAGTGGACAATGCTATCACTTTTATCCATAAGAGTCAAATTAACGTCCAAGCTACTAAACTTGTGGTCTAGTATTCCTTTGATTTCAACCTTTCTCAAAACATTCTTCTTTAGATCATAACAGAGGATGTAAAAAGGGGAACACAACTCAAACGGTGCCAAGATAATCTCGCCGTTTTGGGTTGCACCTTCCATCGTCCACTCAATGTTGCTATCGACTAAATGAATATGACAAGGCTGCAAACTCAGAGATCTCCTCGACCAGTTTCCAACATCTTCTAAGACCCATATGTCCACCAAACCGTTTTGACCAAGACTGGTATGATCAATAATAGCTGGTTTACCACCATACTCTAAAAAACCCACAGAGTCAACAAATGCAGACACCACAAGAGGCGCTTGGATTATATTAAACTCTTCAGACCTGACGTCAAAGCTGACAACTATATCGTGAGACATACTAGTGAAAGCGAGATAATAAATAACTCCACTTATGCACAATCCAGGTCTTGTAGAAATATGAGGTTGATCAAACTCAATTCTCTTCCAGGAACCTCCAACTTCTAGTACGAAGACCCAGTGCTCCGAGGTTATCTTGACCAAATCTTCCGAGGATGACACAAGAGTGCAAACTACTTTGTATTGATCAAGAACAGGATCGTGTCCCAAAAAGTAGACGACACTACGTTCATCTTCTTGGTCAAAGATGGTGGATTTGATGGTCGGTAAGTTTACACACTGTCTGGACATGGTCTCAGTGTCTATCCAAAACTAACTCAGCTCTTTTTTAGTAGTGTATAATACGTTGTGGCACAATAATAAATTATCAATACAATATATGATTTTACTACTATGGGGACATATGGGATTTCTAAATAAAGAATCATTGACCTAAAATCTCAAAATTCATTTAAGAAAATAAAATAAATTGTTACGTATAAAAAACGTGTGCCGGCCGTGGCCTGGCCGCTGAAAGAAGACCTAAATAGGCTAATACACACAGACACCTTCTCAATTTCAAGAAGCGTACAGATATATATTCTAAGGTTTTTGTGAGAATATAAAAATTTTAAGCTAGAGAGAGACAATGATGGTCCAGACTGTCTAGTGAGATCACTTTGGAGAGGGTGATGATTAACAGTGTTTTAACTATTATGTAACTGGGCCTATGTCGTTAATGAAATAAAGTATGACCCAAATAACAAATTTATGGGCTTTCTGAATCCAGATACTTATATATATATTTAGGTGTGTATACGTTTACATGTTAGTTTTTTTTTTGTTTTTTTTTCTTTTTTTAATAAATTTTCCTTCCCATTAAACACGGATTAATGTTAGTTAATGAGGGCAAAGCACGAATTCAAGTTTGGCTCAACCAGATATTTTAAAGCATGGTTGAGATTTAAACCCGAACAATATTTGTATATTACGAGTTGCAGTATTTGTGAGAACTAACATTTAGGTGAGTTAAATACTAATTTCATTTTATTAATTGTAGAGATCACATTCACATTATAATATAGTCGATTAATTTAGTTATGAACATATGGGGAAGGGATTCTTATAACTTAAAAAAAAAACAATTAAGAAATAGAAATGGGTTACGTATAAAACGTGTTACGTGTGTCGGTCGTGGCCTCTATAGAAGAAGACCTAACAACAACACATTCTCTATGTCCGGAAGCAAACGGGTGTATAATTTCGTCATTTCGCTTCTTCTGCCTAATAGTCCCGCAACTTGTGGTTCAAAGGCTAGTTTCGTCTTTTCACAACAGCCAACCCAAACCCACTGGTTAACGAACTCCAACACGGAATAGACTCATCAAAGCCTGATTAAAGAAGGGAGAAAAAAAAAACAGCTTGCGGCCGCAACTTACCAAAAAACATTGTAGTATTTTTTTATTTACGTCTTCTCCACGGAGACAAGTAAAGACAAAGAAGAACTTGTGAGAGATTTTTTATAAATACCGATTAAAAAATAAATTGCAAAACCGACGGTAAGAGAAACAAAAGGCGGTTCTTTTTTTTCTTCTTTCCATTTCTGTAATTATTTTGTTTCTTCTTCTTATATATAGATATCTTTACTTTGGATTGGAGCTCAAGTTCTTGTGTTCTCTCAAGAAACAAAAACATAAACTTTTCAAAAGCCTAAAACATTCCAAAAGTTCTTATCTTTTTTTTTTTTTTTTTTTTCCTAATCAATGGATTACGGAAGAACCGAAGTTGAAGCTGGTTTTGATGATTCAGAGCAAGAAGGATCGACGATATCCGAATCTGGAAGCTGCGATTCGTATTCTCCTGATCGACGACGTCCGCCGCCACCGCCGTCATCTTTTGCTGACGAGCTCGGGCTTATGGAGTTGCTTGAAGGAGACAAAGCTCATGATCTTATCTTTCGTAATTGTAAATCTGGTCTCGGTGATCAATGCCAGATTCTCTCTGTTCTCAGAAACGGGTTCAGGACTGTTGGGTCTCGTGCTAAGTTCAAGACTTTTCAGATTTTTCAAGAGGCGGTGCAGTTGAAACACGCCGAAGACGCTAAGGTCAAGTATGGTTGGTGCACCGTCGGGAAACAAGAGCTCAAAACGATTTTGGAGTATGGGTTTAGCCAGCCGCCGAGAAACGATGGGTCTTACGGCCGTGGGTTGTATCTTTCGCCGGATAATTCTCCTCTTGATTGGTATATTTCTGACTTCTGAAAAGTTTTAATTTTTCCAAAGCTTTGATTTTTTATTTTTTAATGACTCAATCTCATTTTATTGGTGTTTTTGTTTGTTTGTTTAGTTTGAAGGAATCAGCTTCAGAATCAGAAGATGGGATGAGATTCTTGTTGCTTTGTAGAGTTCTACTTGGAAAATCAGAGATTGTTTCTCAAGGCTCGATTCAGTCATGTCCGAGTTCACCAGAGTTTGATTCTGGTGTAGATGATTTAGCTTCTCCGAAGAAGTACATTGTGTGGAGTACACATATGAACACACATGTCTTGCCTGAGTTTCTTGTCTGCGTCAAAGCTCCGTTTAACTTAACTCGTAAGCATAACCAAGACCAATACCTCAAAATTTTTGAAATTTTCTTTGTTCTTGATTTTGGTTTTTGACATTATTATTACTGTTTTGCAGGTAGTCCAAAGAGATTGAGATCGCCATGGATGGCATTTCCTGTATTGATCAAAGCATTGTCCAAGTTTCTTCCTCCTTCTCAGATACTTGTCATTCATAAACACTACAAAGATCAACAAGTAAGTGTTTTTTTGTTGTTGTTTGTTTCTACTTCCATTATCGTTGCAGGTGATTTCACATTCTAATTGTTTGCTTTCCTTCGGATATAACAGAACAGGAGAATCTCGCGGAGCGAACTCATACAACGAGTCAGAAGCATAACCGGAGACAAGTTACTAGTTCACATCATCAAAGCTTTTGGACATAAAGTTCAACATTAAAAACTCTCCATTGCAGATCACTTTGGGTCAATCGCCATGGTTGCATTTGTCTGTTTTACCAACACCAGAAGGATGGTAAACAAATGGTCATGTACGGAGTCTCCAAATCATAGAGTAGTCGTTTCTTTTTGTTTTCCCATGATAGTGATGAAAAAAATTGTTCAATAGATATATTCAAGATCGATCAGACTAGGGTCTGAATTCATTATTAATGAAGAACATTAACAAGTTACAGTCGTATTTTTTCTTTTTCACTCTTGTTTCAAAAACATTTGTATCATACTATCATTGCTCTATCTTGCGGACTTGAGTTGAACAAAAACAGTTATTATAACTAGAGATTCTGGAGGACTTTAAAAGTTCCTCAAGTTTTACAATAGCGCTCTCTCTCTCTCTCTTAATCTCTCCACCCCTTGACCAAGTCAACCCCGTTGAAAACTTCATGTTTCAATCTCTTATTCCCTCCCACTGAAACTACTAGTAGAGATAACTAATCACTTTTATTCGATGCAACAAGCAAACTACGAGCTTACTTCATTAGTGGACACACAACTTCTAAGTAGATGAAGGAAGTTCCCAACCTTTTGGAACCGGACCATAATCATAAATGACTTCTCTGTGGCATGACCAGACCAGCTTTATAGCTTCCGGTGTTCCTATCCCGGCCCCTCTCGGGTCCCCCGCAGGTCCAAACCTGTTTTTGTGTATTATATTAGTTTTTTCCACAAACAAAAAGAAAGATTTGTTAATTTGGGATTCTTTTTGATTTCTCTTACCAGTGATTCTGAGGAGCACCAGTTGTTCTTCCTCTGAGTCCAGCGTATGTAGTCCCATTCACCGAGTTCCCTACAACTTCCTGCACAGATTTGTTACATCAATATCTAATGGTAAGAGAAGAAGAGATTGATTGATGATGATGGTGAAAAGATTTGCCTGAATAAAGATGGGATCGTTTGAAACAACAGCTGCAGTTAGATGAGCGTGCATCCTCTCCAAAGCTTCCAACACTAAAGGAAGTTGATCCTTTTTGTATTCCGTTACAATCTGGATATCAGATACAACAACAGTGCTACGTTTTTAGTAAGGAAACACGGATCATTAAGATAAAGCAAGTGAAATCAATATAGGCGGTTTAACCTGAAACGGTCCAAAGATTTCTTTGGTGACGAGTTCGTAGGTTTTACTATCCTTCAAGATTTCTTCAATGGGAACGTAAACTGCAGTGGGCTCCAAAGCTCCGTAGATAGAAGGAATCGAATGATTCTTCAGTTCCTTGCCACCGAAGAGTAGCTTCGAGCCAGGAATCTGAAGCAGGTTCTCCATGTGCTCCAACATTGCCTCAGTTGTAAACTTGAAAACAATGATGAAAGAACAAGTTTTAATGATAAAATCTCATCAGAAATTAATAAAAGATGAAAAAAATATGAAACTTACTGTGAGGACAGGACCAATTGTTAAGTCTTCCAGTTTGCGTCTTTCTGCTAGTTCTTTTAATTTGGAAAGAAGAGGGGTTTTTGACCAGTTCTGCTCAGAGAATTTTCAAAAAACAGAAAACACAATGAAAAAACAAAAGAAATTGGAAGTAACCAATAGGATTCAAAGGTAGTTTCACCATAAAATTTAGGATCAAACCAACCTCATGAACAAAAAGCATAGACTGTGCAGAGCACTTCTGTCCACTGCACGCGTATGCATCTTGATCACATTGCCATGCAACGTAATCAACCTGACATTAGAGACCGAAACAAGGGTTACAATTACATCTAAAGAGACTTGTGGAAATATAAGTAGGCAAGGTTATGGTAAGAAACCTCCTGAACATCTGGTCCTAAGACTTTCCAGTCAAATCCAGCATCTTCCAATCTGATTCGACCCTTAAGGTCAAGTGCCAACTTTTCAGCTACTCTAGAACTACCTGTGAAAAGTGTCATCCGAGGACTTGCCTGAAAAAGGTTACAAATAGACAAGGCACTAAGTTAGCTCAACTAATAAACCTGTGGAGACAATAGACTTGTGAATTCCTGATCAAATACCTCTAACAAGATCTTGTTCATTGTCTTCCCATCAGAATTTATAAAGTCAACATCTTCTGCGGGTAAGCCACAATAATGGAGCAGTCGCATCATTTGCTCCATCACAATGCTTACCTATCCAAGTAACATTATATTATTTCAAACAGATAGGACCAATACAATTAGGACGACTATGTTATGTGAAATATATTTAATACCTTGCTGTCTACTTTAAGAAGAGGTTTGTTACCCATGTATAATGCCCCCATCAACTGAAGTAGGGGAATCTCAAGTGGAAAATTAAATGGTGTTACAATCGTTACCTGCATCACAAATCTATGACTTCAAAACAAAGCACAAAACAGAGTTGTCACTAATTACAACCATCTAGGAAGAATGCCTTACAGGACCATAAGGCCAACGGTAACCATGACTTTGCTGTCCAAGATGATTTCCAGGGATTGCAAAAGACCGTGCCAGGAACCGCACCTGATAAAAGAAAGAGAGGGGAGTCATTCCAAAGTTGATATTTCAGAAAGCTAGGCACAGAAATGAAATGTACAAATAGGCAAAAGTTATGGTTGGTAATCCTTCATGAATTATAAAGCTGTTGATACTAATAACGAGGAACCAATGTAAAAATGGTGAAGAGATTCATGTACCTGGTCACCACAAAAGTTCTCTAAAAATTTCCGTGTGACAAAGACTTCTCCAGCAGCTTGCTGGTAACTCTTTGGAGCAACCCTTTGAATTAACCTCGCAAAGAAATCAGCTACCTAATAGTGTATACAAGCATAAGATAACAGAAGACCAGTAGCTCAGTATGCACGTTATTTGGGAAACATAAGTTTTGAATTCAACACTCAAGACAACAAAAAAGTATGTGTTACCTTAGGTAAGGCGAGCATATGAGCTGCCTTTGTCGAGATATCTCCATACAAAAGGTATCTGTCAAAAACATGACCATTAGTTTAGTATCTTCATATATAGAATCAAATGAGAAATAAAACAACAAGAAGAAATGGATGAAAATCACCAAGCCCGAACCAAAGCCGTACCTCTCTGGAGATTTGAAAGGGTTATGAAGACCATGCTTCGGGCACTGGGATAAGCTGTCTACAAATGGCTGCAACATAGAACATACGAAAGATAAAAGTTAGAATAGAGACAGATACCACTTTTAGGAATAACGGTTTTGACAGGCTCGCACCTGAGTTCCTGTTTCATCCACTTCAGCAACTTTAATGAAAGGTTCTCCATTTAGAGGATCCAAAAGTGTGTTATGATTCGAAGATCCAATCCACTTCCCCTGCACTATAAACATAACAGGAAAGTAAAGCTCAGAGACTCCAACAGCACTTTACTAAGAAGCTTTTAAGTACAAAATCTAAAATCCAATCTGAGAAGTAAAGACACACACCAAAGCTCTGTACTTCAGCAGGGTGAGCACCAGATAGCTCCTCAGCATCTACGGTAGCAAAAGGTATGGAATGATTCAATCTGCAAAGACCAAAAACACAAAAATTAAGTCAAATGAACACACTCGTTTAAATGGATCACATTCAGACATCAATTTGGTAATCAGAAAGAGAACTAAAGATAAAACCATTTCAACATCTAATCAACAAACACTTTCTACTGTTTCACAGTCACTGGCAGATGCGGCAACTCGATAATCCATATCGGTCATTTTAAAACACCAACTTGCTAAAGTTTTTTGTCTTTTTTTTTTTATATATAACTCTAGGGGGAAAAAAATCAATTAATTTATGCAATTACATGCAATCCCAAAAGGCGAAGAGCAGTAGTAATACAAAGAAAAAAAGGGCGAGAAGTTTCAAAACCTGGGGAGAGTCAAAGAAGCAAGGGAGGTAGATGATTTGTCACAGAGAGACTTAGCTCTAAGTGCTCGGCTCGCCAAAACTCTATACATTGCGTAAGATCCAGAAGAGACGGAGAAAGATGAACAAATCAGACAATGGAGGAGGATTCGAGATCGGTAATAAAACTTCTGAGTGATTTGTGTTGGCTTCTTATATAAAAATGGAGTAATTGCTTCCCCTGATTGACGAGAAATACATCAATGATTTTAGATTTTTACATAGATTTTCCCTTAACTTCAACGTTATTTCCTTATTAACCCCATAGTTTTTAATTGCTAATTACAAACCCTGTCAATGACTCATCAAGAAGAAGCATAGTAATTTCTATTCAAGACTAATGGAATATGATAAAGGGAAACTAATCATGAAATTAGTAAAAATAATAAGAGATTTAGGGTGTGTATTATACTATTTACTCTTTCAAATTAAAATTGGAAATTCATTATTTTTTAGTGATTCTTAGATAAAATTCAGGGGTAAAAAAAAGGAAATTTGTAAGATAAACACAGATGTAGACAAAGACAAGTAAAATTAAGAATGGTGATAGCTTGCTGAGTCACGTCCGCTTGTGCCGAATGACTCATTGACGTATAACGTTTTGCCTTTACGCTAACCGACAAATAATCTCAAAAACCATTAAATATTTTATTAAAACAAAAAATATTTGGAAGAAAAAAAAATATTTTTAGTGTTTTTCTTTCTTTCTCATTATTTCTTCTCTTCCTTAATTTCTGTAAGATTCTCTCTTATTTGGCGAAGAAGAAAAAAAAAAAAATCTCTCTCAACTTTGATTCCCCTCTCTCTTTCTCTGTATTTTACTTTAGCTATTCTCCACTCGTATAGTTTCCATTATCTCTTCTGCTCTCTGTTCGTCGAATATGATCGATTCAAGGTTTTGAATATTGATAAACCCTAATTCCTGGTGTTGCGGATTCATCTGCTGGATTGATTCTTCATTGCAGCTTTTTGAATTCAAGGTAAGCCTTTTCGTTTGTAACATTTTCATTAGAAGATGAGATCTTTCATGCATGAATGTAGAATCTGATCCTTATATGCTCTGTAATCCTACTGCTCTTGATCTACTTCATTCAGAATTGAGGTTTAGCTTTTGGCTCAGCTGAATCAATACTTAATCTGCTCGTTAAACTATTCAAGCCTCAAGCTTTCTTGTTTCAAAGTTTTGGTTTTTCTTGTTTCTTTGATTGGAATTTTCGTTGACCTTAGGGTTAGGGTGGTTAGTGGTTGTTGAAGCTTTACGTCTTTGAGTAAACATGTTAGGTTATAGAAATGTTGATTTTGGTTTCTGCTTCTACTTCTCTGGGTAATCAAGGAATTTGAAACTTTTATCAGGAAATTAGGTCCTTGTTCTTGTTAGAAGGCTATATCGCTTTACCATACTTGTGGGAAGAGTTCAGAGAAGTTAACTCCAAACATTTCATTTTTTTTAATGCAGTGTAAGGTTTAATAGGTTGCAACAATGACAAGTCCAGCAAGAAAGAGACTAATGTGGGATTTCAAGAGGCTGCAGAAAGATCCTCCTGTGGGAATAAGTGGGTCTCCACTAGATAACAATATCATGCATTGGAATGCTGTCATCTTTGGGTATAACATTCTTGTGTGTGTGTTTCTGTATCTTTTGTTTTGTCTGCAACATATGCTTCAATCCTTGTCTAACTCCATTGTCTTTGCAGACCTGATGACACTCCATGGGATGGAGGTGATAATATCTTTCTAACATTTGGGGCCAACATATATTCATGAGTTATAACTAATAGCTAAAACTAATCAATCTGTTGTGTTCATCAATCATCAGGTACTTTCAAGATGACCCTTCAGTTCACTGAGGATTACCCGAACAAGCCCCCAACAGTGCGGTTTGTATCACGGATATTTCATCCAAACAGTAAGCTCAAGCATTCAATCAAAAAACATAGAGAAAAAAAGATCAAAAACTACTTCCCATTTTGATATTTGATACTTGAACTTTGGTGCAGTTTATGCAGATGGAAGCATTTGCTTGGATATCTTACAAAACCAATGGAGCCCCATCTATGACGTCTCTGCGGTACTCACATCGATTCAGGTTTTGACTTCTGAATTCTCCATTTGCTTCTTTTGCATTGTGGTGGGTCATTGCATGAACTAACCAAGACCTTCTGTTTCACAGTCTTTGCTTTGTGACCCGAACCCTGATTCCCCAGCAAACGCCGAGGCTGCGAGGTTGTTCAGTGAGAACAAACGGGAATATAATAGGAAAGTAAGAGAGATCGTGGAGCAGAGCTATGCATAATATATGATTTAGTTTGTTGTATTGTCTAGAGTAATTGGAGCTTGAGTAGTAGTTAAGTTCGTAAGACTTTTGAGCTCTGGAACCGAGATATTTTTCCAATATATATATATGATATCTTTATCATATCATCTGTGAATCATCAAATTTTAACAGATAACACTCTAACACTAGACAGAAGACATCAAATGAAGAAAATTTGAAATTAAACTTAACACAATTACAAAGCAAGCAAATAAAGTATTTGTTTTGTCTTTCAAACCACACTTTTAAAAACAAACTTGCAAAAGCTTTTCAACTATGTACTTTGAACAACCCATTCAAACCAAAAGAAAAAGAGTGATTGAATTATGTTGAAGAAATAGAAATGCTTCTTTGTTCCTCATTTAAACCTGGATTTCTTCTGCTGCATCAACATTAACCTGCGACGAGAAAACTTGTGTTAATCTTTTATGCTACAGAAACGACCTGTGAACTAAACAAGTTTTACTTACAGTGTTTTCCTTGTTCTCCATTTTCTTCATTTGCTTCAGAGAAGTAGCTTCAACTACACGAAATAACAGTAACACAATCAGCCACAAATCTTATTGAAATCACTGAGCTTGGAGAAGGATCGTTTAAACGCTTTTCAAAGACATTGTATGACATATTTTACCTTCTTTAGCTGTAGATTTCTTAGTTGACTTCTTTATCTCTTCTTGAACTTTCTTAGTCCTGGGTTTTGTGACCTTTTCAGACTTCTTCTGAGATTTATCGTCCTTGTTTATTGGAACTGTTCTTGAATTGGCAGAGTTGGTTGCTAGTGATTTCTTTGTCTTCGAAGGCGGGTTGTTCTTAGGAACAGTCTCCTTTCTTGCACGTTTCTTGTCTACAGGTTGAACAACAGTTACAACTGGAACATCATCTTTTGATGAACGAGGTCCTTCTTCTGATCCCTGAACAACCTCTGGAACCTCCTCTTGATTCACAATGATTTCATCCAAAGAACTTCTAATGCTTTCTTCTGGGACTGTTTCCGAGGTCTTTTCCTCCTTGACTGTTTCTGTGACAGCTGAATCCCTCAAAGCATCGTCTTTCGTGACCTCTGATGTGATGTTTGAATTTCCAGGCGTGGAGAGGGAACTCTGGACATCATTATCTTTGTTTAGAGACACAGCTGTCTCGTCAACTACGACAGAACTGGTATCCGAGACCTGCATCTGCTTTGATTCTTCTGAGATATTGTACAGTTCAGATAGCTCCTTCATAGCATCAGCAAGCCCATCCATGTTATTGCGACGAGCGTAGGATTTCAGCTCTTCTTTCATCTTGTCAAGTGTCTAAATTCCAAAACATAAACTCAGTGAGTTAAACAAGACTTGGTTGCAAACTTACAATCAAAGCTTTTCTGGGAATTAGGAAATTTTACCTGACACCCTGCATGAAGAGCAAGTTTAAAGAAACCAAGAGAGATAGAATGTTTGGCCACAGATTCAGCTAGCTTGATATGAGCCAGCCAATAAGTAGAGGAAGACAAGTCTTCAGGTTTCCTCCGAGTCACTGATGATCTCAGATGACTGGAGACAGGTGTTGCTGTCTCATTGAAGCTCCTAGCGACAATGCCTGATCTCCTTGGCTTGGTTTCAGAAAGAGAAGTGACACTGCTGCTCACTGATTTAACAGAAGAATTGCTAGTGGACTTGTTAGGAATCGAAAGTCTTCTTGGTGGTAGCTTGGTGCGATCAACACTCTTCTTCCCAGACAAATCAAGAACTGTAGTACTCTGACTAACAGCAGAAGCAACTCGTCCCCTAAGATTCAAACAAACCACACATATAGTATTATTAATTCATGAAACGAACTATATTGCAAAATTTACAGAAACGATAATTGCTAAAAACTCAAACTAGACAATTTGTTCCTATGAATCATGAGAAAAATTAACAAAAAATCTCAATCACAAAGCCAGTGATGATGATTGCATTATATAATCATAGAATCATAAATGTTTCGTCAATATCAGATCTAGAATCGTTATTGGATCAATCAAAATAGAAAAACGAAAAAAAGACAAAATGATTATGAGAGAAAACCTTCTGGGAACTGAAGAAGCAGAGAAATCAGGAACAGGAGGCTTCCCTTCCCAGGATCTAAGAGCCGATCTGAGAGGATACCTCAGCTTCGAATTGATTGAATTACCTATTAAGAAGTTTTCCGATTGAGACTAAGGATCAGAACATACGAGAACTGAAACGTCAAGTGATAATGAGAGAGATGAAACAAGAAGAAGATATAAATTTACCAGAAACAGCAGAGCTCACGCTTTTCTCCATTGATCTCTCCATTGATAAAACTTGGAAACTCTTTACGTTTTGGTTATTTTGTTTTCGTAAGGAGTGGGTGGAGAAAGGAATTAAAAAACTGAAAATCTCAGTTTGAAATTATGTGAGAGCGGAGATATCTCTGACTGCTTATAACAATACTATCTATAAAAAACAGACCTCGCAGATGGCCCTTGTACTATTTGATATTTCTTTTATAGACTCGTTATTTCAACTTATACCAGTTCTGACCCATTTTTTACTGTATCCATAGGGTACAGTTTGCGGTGAAATTGATTAAAAACAAAAATTCGAGCCTATATCTATGTAAATATTCATACAGTCACTTCTATCTAATTTGGAACAGATTAAAAAAGGTTTATAGTATTGAAAAAACATTAGTACGGGGTTAGAAATGAAGATTTGTAAAGTACAAGGGTCCCTGCTTTATTTATTTGGAATAGTCCTCCGTCGTAACCTAAGTTTTCTGTTGCAGTTTTTGACTTGAGGCGGGAAAGTGGTTAAAGTCTCTTTTGAGTTATGGGGAGGGAGAGAGACTCAATGTGAGCCGTCCGATTTGAGAATCTAAGGGACCTCTTTTTCCCAAACGCTCCGTTGTCTGTGGGGTCTTTTGTTTTTGTTTCTGTGTGGGTTTATTTTTTCGAACTTTCAAAATTCAAACAACGCGCCGTGCGATTACTGTTTGTTTTAACGATTTAAGATTATAGGGCCTTTTATAATGCTATGACCCATGTCTGTTTCCTCAATAATGGGCTTAGTTTGGGCCTTTTTTAAAAAATGCCCATGTCAGCGTTATGAATTGAGGAAGAGGTTGACGTTTGGAAAAGTTTAAAACGTCATGTGTTAATGGATTGATCTTTGACCATATCAAGCAAAGAAAGGATGTCAATAACTTTTTACACATTTATAAATGTCCTGACTAAACGAGTTAGTAAATAGTAAGTACATTCCAACAAAGGATCTTGAAACGAACTGTTCATTTATTTTAGAGTTATTTATTACTATTCTCTTTGTTTCATCAAGCTAGCATCAACACTCCAAAATCATCTACTTAACCATAGATCATAAAAATGGTGTCTACTTGATTAAGAGCAAAACATATATCCTAGTGCATTTATGGAAAAAAAAATATCTGAGTGGATGTCATGTTCTTATTTTTTTGTTTGTTTTTTTTAATGTAATCGATACTGTCGCTCAATTCCGACTTTATCTCACTAGAAACAATATAATTATATTGCTTTCACATACTAGTAGTATTATTTAAAGAACAATATTTTCAAGAATGCTTTATATTTAATTATAATCTCGTTTTCTGAGTATGTAACACGCCTTACCCGTCTGTCACCGGTAATTATCATATCATATGGTGTGTGCATTATTATTATTATTACTCGCTCTACTTTCTTTTCTTTTTTTGCGTGTGTCAAATTTACTTGGACTTGCTCAACATTTTTGATGTTATAAATTCCCTAAAAACAATTTATCCGAGGTTGGTAAAAATTAAATTCAGAGACACCTTTTTGAGGTATGTGTTCCCTATTTTGTGATTTGTTGATTCTGTATTGAATTAGAAACTGTATATTTATGGCTCAAATGGTGATTTATTATTAGGTGTCCATTAAAATAACGATCATCATCATCACCTTTACAATATTAATTATCTAAAAAGTAAACCAAGAAAAAAGTCAGACTCGTTACTATCAACGTAACCAATTCCGTTTTGTTGTTTACAATCTAATCTCCCTTGATTTACGTATTAAACAACTACTCAAATTGATACAGTTTCCCTCGGTTTAATTCAACTTAATGTGGTTCCGGTTTAATAATCAAAAACCTTTTTGGACTTGATCAAAAGACTTGTGTAATAGTATTTCGAGCTTTTTGAGCTCGGAGCCGCTTCTTCTTTTTCGTCTTCTTCCTCCTCTTGAAAACCTAAATTGTTTTCTCCGATGGTTGGAAACAGGCAGAGATGGTTCTCTTTCCACCAAAGATCCTCTTCAGCCACTGCTACAACTTTACCACAGCACAAACACGACGAGACTCCACCGGAGTTTCTTTGTCCCATCACCGGTTTCCTCATGTCGGACCCTGTAGTCGTCTCCTCTGGTCAAACCTTCGAGCGTCTCTCCGTTCAAGTCTGTCGTAACTTAGGGTATACACCGGATCTTTTAGACGGTACCCGACCCGATTTCTCCACCGTCATCCCAAATCTCGCCATTAAATCCACCATTTTCAGCTGGTGTGATCGGAACAAAGTCGACCACCCTCGTCCTCCTGATTCCGCTTACGTAGAAGCCGTGGTTCGTGCCCGAATCGATAAAGATCCGAGCCCGACTCCGAGTCCGAGTCCGGGTCCTAAGGCTCCGGAGCCTGAGATCCTCCCTCCTGTTGAAGAGAATTCACCTTCGGATTCGGATTACGACGCAGTGATGGAAGCGATTCGAGCTCGATCTAAGAGCTCAATGTCACCGACGACGTCTCTCGAGTCGGTTACGATTGGTCAGAGTCCATTTCACCCAGCTCGAGCCGTTAGTATGTTCTCTTCTTCCACTACTTCTTCTTCCTCTGGAGTTTTCGCTGGAGCTGATAGTCCATTTCGAAACGCCATCTCTTTCTCTTCCTCCGATCACTCTTCCTCTCCCATGTCGCCGGAAGAAGAAGAGATCTTCAACAAACTGAGAGGTACCGACATTTTCGACCACGAGCAGGGTCTGATTCTTCTAAGGAAGATGACGAGATCTAGTGAGGATCTTCGGGTTTCGCTTTGTACAGATCGGATTCTCTCTTTTCTCCGATCATTGCTTGTTTCACGGTACAATCTTGTCCAGACTAACGCCGCCGCGTCTTTGGTTAATCTCTCGCTGGAGAAACAGAACAAAGTTAAGATTGTACGGTCAGGATTTGTTCCTTTGTTGATTGACGTTTTGAAATCGGGAACGACAGAGGCGCAGGAACATGTTGCAGGAGCTTTGTTTAGCTTGGCGCTTGAAGATGAGAATAAAATGGTGATCGGAGTTCTCGGTGCGGTGGAGCCGCTTCTTCACGCTCTTCGTTCCTCAGAGAGCGAAAGAGCACGTCAAGACGCAGCTCTTGCGCTTTACCATTTGTCGCTGATTCCAAGCAACCGAACAAGGCTGGTTAGAGCTGGTGCGGTGCCGACTCTGCTTTCCATGGTTAGATCCGGCGATTCGACCAGCCGGATTTTGCTAGTGCTGTGTAACCTGGCGGCTTGTCCTGACGGAAAAGGCGCTATGTTAGACGGAAACGCGGTGGCCATTTTGGTAGGGAAGCTAAGAGAAGTCGGAGTTGGTGATTCCGAGGCGGCACGTGAGAATTGCGTGGCGGTACTGTTGACGCTTTGTCAAGGGAATTTGAGGTTTAGGGGATTGGCGAGTGAGGCGGGAGCTGAGGAAGTGTTGATGGAAGTGGAAGAGAAAGGGAACGGACGGGTGAAGGAGAAGGCGGCGAAGATATTGCAGGCGATGAGAGGAGGAGGAGGCGGGAGAGAGAGTGAGTTTGGGGAAAATGCGGAGGCGCGTGAGTGGAACCGTATGCTTGAAGCGACTGGGCTAAGTCGGACTCAGTTTCAAGGAGGGCAAAACGGGGGTTTTGCTTATTCCTCCCAGTTCTAGCTTCTTCCTTTTTTTTCGTTATTTAATTGTTTTTTTTGTGGGTATCTCTTTGCTCCTTACCTTTTTTTGGGCAAATATGATAATATGTTTCCTTTTTTTGTTTGATAAAAATGGGTGTAAATTAATTAATTTTGTGTGAATTGTAATATGTGATTATTGTTTTTTTTTTCTTTTCCAACCAAATGACAAAAGTGAAATGTCCATTTGTTTTGTAAAGAGATGTCTGATGTTTTTATTTTATTATTTCCTCTCTTTTTCCTTACCTTTTTATGGTGTAAAATGTTATCTTTTTTTTTTTGCTTTTATGTTTGATAGATATGCAAATGGGTGTAAAATCAATATAAATTTTGAGTGGAGTATGATATGTGACTATTTTATTGTCTCAAATAAATGACTAAAGTGAATGTTTAAATTTTTGTAAAGAGATGTCTAAAGTTTTTCTTGTAAATTAATTTGCAGATTAAAAAGATGTGTGGAAGAGAGAGAGAGAGAGAGAGAAGAGGACACAATCAAACTTAAGAGACAAACGTACGTGTGATGGGGGAGAATTGAAGAAATAGAAGTGGAGAGGAGTTTAAGCATTTGGTCAAAGTCAGATAGTTCGTGTGAAGGTGTCAGAGGGACACAAACATAACTCTGAATTATTCTACAGAACATTCCATCTGATACCATGAGATCCAATTACAATATTTAGCTAAACCAATCCTGATTTGTTGCTGTCAAATTAATTAAAGGCAAGAAGCATGCAAAATACTTATAAAGTTTATAGTTGAATGATTCTGTATGTTTCCTAATACATAGTGAATGTACATACTTCTAAAAAAGTATAGTAGTTAAATATATATATATATAAGGTCGGATTTGAATTGATCCTTGGTCGCACACAACTGATAACCTTTTTTTTGTGGGTGAATGATGTGATTTAGGTGTTTGAGAACGCAACTATACTTTGAGATATGTTTAGTGGAGAAAGGTGTGTGTTTGTCCCTAGAGCAGACTGCATGCTTTTTAATATAAAATAACTTAAGACAAACTCATTTTCTTTTTCTCATACTTCAAATCACGCGTCTGTGTTTTATGATTTCTGGTTGGAAGTGAGAATGGGGATGGGGATGTCAGCATTATTGTTGAAGATGTGTATGATTGGTTTTGAAGAAGTGTTTCTGTATATGCCATAACAAAAAAATTATTAAAATCGGTTTGGAGGAAACAAAACGAATCATATTATTTTGCCGACGTTTTGTACATGATTTCTCAGTAGATGTAACTTTAAAACTGAGTTAGAGACATATAGGGGTCAAAACTGGAAAAAAAAAAAAAAAAAAAAAAAAACATTTTTCATATCCGCTAGTTGGCACAGGATAGTTATCAAACATTAGAATGTTATAATTTGTTTGTCGACCCACTTGGAAAAGATAAATCTCTAGGACAAAACCTGATGGCTGGGCCGCTGGGGCAGATGTTAATGTTATCATCCAATAGGGGTCGTTTTTGTGACCTAGCTACACTTGATTCATATCCATGTGACAATAAGAACAAGGATGAATTATGGATGATTGCTGTTTCCGCATGCTTGATCATTTGGTCCAGCAGCCCTAACAATTCTTTTAGGAAAAAAAAAAAACAAGTCCTCGTTTTAATCCAAAATTCGTATGAACAGAAAATTAGGAAACCCTTCTTCTGCGACCTATGTACATACATAAACTTCTAGAAAGATTTACGTATATAAATCTTTCTTTAAACACAGTTTCCATTCGAAGGCTGCCAAGTTCTAAACATTGAAATTTGATGAAAGCACTTAAACTATTCCGAGAGTTAGGACGTACAAAAGATGATTAGATTTAAAATGGAATGGTCAAAACATATCTTTCTTTGTTTTAAGTTAGAAGCACTCAAGCAAAACAATAGATTACAATGAGAGATTTTAGGGGTTCCTCGTCACTGACGCGGTTTCAAAAGGTCCCACACAACAAACACTGAGAAAGAAAGCTTCACACAAACACACACACTAGTCTAGTTTTCTCCGTGTTCTGTCTCTATCTGCTCTTACCACAAAGAATTTGTACAATCCCTTCTTCTTTTTTTTTTTTTGATACTGGGACATAGTTTTTTTTAAGAACTGGTAAGGAAGCGTTAGATAAGATAATTCCAAGATACGGGTCTTTCTCGTTTTCTTTGGAGATCAGATTCATTTCTTACGATAATTCCGTTACTCTTTTTGGGTATACATATATATCTTTCCTTCCTGGAAATTACGGTTCTTTTTGTTTCTACAAAATCACACAAAAAACGCAGAAGGCAAAAAAACATTCTGTAAATGGTTGAAATTCTCTGTGGATTTCAACGGCTCTTGTGGGTATCTGAAAGATGTCGCAGAAGAGAGAGTTTGAAGATGGCAAGGCTCGAGTTGAAGGCGGCTCATCCGAGGATAAGCGTCGAAGATTCAAAAGGTATTGTCTTGTCTCTGGTTTTAGGGCTTTTGATTTATGTCGTTGTTAGTTGATTCAATAAGCATCAGTCTTCTTCGATTCAATCAATCAATTGGGTTTATTTATCAGCCTGTAAGGATGAATTGTAGCCTAAAAGTTGTGATCTTTCTATTGGAACAAGTAGACTGAACTGTGAGGCCAACTTCTACGGTTTGTGGGAGTCTTCAATTAGATTGTTTCTGGATCGTTTTGTTTTTTTGGCTTGGAAGTTATCAGTAGGTTTGGTTTTTTCTGTAAACAAAGAGTGATACTTTTGGGTAGATAAAATTGGATATGGATTGAAAGACAAAGTGTACTCATAATACTAGCATAGTAGCATGTATGACTTTGCATAATCACCATGGTTGGGGTCTCCTCGATAAGAAGCTTTGTTTTTCCCAGCCACTTCCTGTTAACATAGCAGCAATGTTTATAAAGTTTTAGACTTTCTATAGTTTTAATGAGAGAATTCCCACGTTTGACTTTGGATCCAAATTTAGTGTGGTTCAGGAGGTTATGAGATTGCAAACTGTCAAGCATTTTCTCGAACCTGTTCTCGAGCCTTTGATTCGTAAAGTGGTACGTACTGATCTTGGTAATATAAAATACAGTACCTTTTCTCCTCTAGGATCGAGTGTTTATTTTAGCAATTAAATTATGAATATCCCGTGGAACAGGTCAAAGAAGAAGTTGAACTGGCTCTTGGAAAGCATCTAGCAGGCTTCAAGTGGTAAACTGATTTTCAAAATAAATATTAGATTCTCAGGGTTTCTCTGGTATGAATATTTTATTCCCATGTTCAGGATTTGTGAGCAAGAGATTCATCCTTTGGAATCAAGGAACCTGCAGTTAAAGTTCTTGAACAATATATCGCTTCCTGTGTTTACTTCAGCTCGGATAGAAGGAGATGAAGGCCAAGCTATAAGAGTTGGATTAATCGATCCTTCAACTGGCCAAATTGTCTCTTCTGGTCCTGCATCATCTGCGAAGCTCGAGATTTTTGTTGTTGAGGGTTATTTTAACATTGATAGTGACTGGACAGCTGAGGATATCAGGAATAATATTGTAAGAGAGAGAGCAGGAAAGAAACCTCTACTCAGTGGGAATGTTATTGCTGTTCTTAACGATGGCATCGGTGTTATGGATGAAATTTCATTTACAGATAATTCTAGCTGGACTAGGAGCAGGAAGTTCAGACTTGGGGTGCGGATGGTTGAGCAGTTTGATTTTGTCAAAATTAGAGAGGCAGTAACAGAGTCCTTTGTCGTAAGAGATCATCGAGGAGAGTGTAAGTATGGCTTGTTAGTTTACTCTCTCACATTAAAACCAATGTTGGAGTATCTTTCTTATAAGTATTACCTTCCTGTTCTCATTATCTATAAACTAAAGCATTGGTTTCTTTCTTCTACCTCTTTCTCTCTCATTTCCAGTGTACAGAAAGCATCATCCTCCTTCTCTTTTCGATGAAGTATGGAGGTTGGAAAAGATAGGAAAAGATGGAGCATTTCACAAACGACTGAATTGGTCAAATATAAAGACTGTCAAGGATTTCCTCACACATTTCCATTTGAACTCTTCTAAACTCCGGCAAGTAAGATTCTTCTACCTCATTGTAAACGATCTGTGGCTATGTTACTAAGGCTTCTGATCTGTGGTGAAGATTGAGAAAACACAGTTTTTAAGGTTGTCTATATCTAATGATGATTGATGTTCCTTGCAGGTTCTTGGTACGGGTATGTCTTCAAAGATGTGGGAAATTACTTTGGAACATGCTCGATCGTGTGTTCTGGATAGCAGCGTCCATGTGTACCAAGCTCATGGATTTCAGAAGAAAACCGCTGTTGTCTTCAATGTCGTAGCTCAAGTGCTTGGACTGCTCGTGGATTTTCAGTATATTCCTACTGAGAAGTTATCTGAGATTGAAAAGGTACTAATCCTCTCTCCCTATAGATCTGACTTGGATTCTCTTTTATATACTGCAGGTCTTCATAATCATTTTGATTGTTTCTGATTTAGGCTCAAGCCGAGGAGATGGTAACTGTTGCATTGAGTCACCTACATGAAGTATTGTCGTATGATGATGAGATATCAATGATGAGGAACTTTCTTAATGTCCAGGCTTCTCAAAGCAGTGTCGGGATTGACTATTCCGGTCTGAGTTTGACCAGTTTGGAAAGCTACGGTTTTGTGTCAAATGATCGCAACACAGCAGAATGTAGTGGCCAGTACAGTGATGATGTTGACATGGACGTAATTCCACAGGGTTTATATGAAGACTACGAGAATCTCTGGAATTGCTCTCAGATTCTAGGCCTAGAAGAACCGCAGTCAGATTTGCACTGTGCGGTAGACGATTTCATGTCACAGAAGAATGCTTCAGTGGGTAAGGCTCACAGCAGAAGATGGACAAAGCTTTTCAGTGTCTCGAAATGGCTCTCTGTTTTCAAGAATGTAACAGTTAGGAAAAACCTGAAATGAGTACACAGTAAAGAAAGAAGAAACAACAACTCGCCCTGGACAGATTCGTGTATATATATATACTCAGGGGAAGCTTGTGAATCTCGGGTTTCTGATAAGCCAGAGGCGTTCAAAAGTGTTTTCTTTCTTCTTCTTCTTCTTCTTCTTCTTATTTTCTTTATCTCCATCTTTGTGTTAAAAGATGTGAATATGTTTAGGACAGCTTCATTTTTGTTGAAAGCTTAAAAAACAGGATGGTCAGTACCACCAAATGCAGAAGTATGTTTCTTGGTTTGCCAGGTTATGTGAAACTGAATAAATTGAATATTTTCTAAAGTTTTGTGTTTGAGATTCAAAGCACACTAGACTGAGTATGAAGATTTTGGCTGAGTAATGAATGTTTGGGTTGATAATATCTAATAATATAGTTTTGGGGGGTCAAAATAGAATAATTCTAAAGTAGTATACAGCTCATGTCGGAAAAAAGTTTCTTCGAAATCTATATACTTAAGAACTGGAAGGTTTAGCTATTTCCTTGTGTTGTTGGATTACTCCTTTGAATCTGATCATGGCGTTTTTGTTCAACAACGCTTCAATTTCGTCGCATCTCCGTTCTACGTCTTCACAGGTTTGGATCGAATCATGTTAATCGGATTTGTTCGTTTGGTTTTGTGACAATTTTTACTTACTGAAATATTTACAGAAGACGGGTGATGCGTTATTACTATCGCGTCGGGGATTGCACATCGAGCCAGGAACTCGAGAGAAAGCTGTAAGTTATTCTATACAATCTGGTTTATCTAGGGTTTGTTCTTACATTTCGCTGTTTGCTTGTTTTGGGACAAGCTATGGTAGGATTGTAGACTCTTTATGAACATTTGGAATCTGAAAATTGTGTTAGATTTACGATTTGATCGAGCACTGGATCATTCTGACTTAGTTTTTTTTTTTTTTTTTAAGTGGAATTTTCTGTCTCTAGTATGACATAGAGGAAAGAAAATTAGAGCTCCTGGAAGAGTTGGTTTTTCAATAGATTCCCTGAGACTCTCATGTGATCACTAGTGATGTTTGTTAGTCTGGATTCATCTGAGAGAAGAATATTTTTTAGCTCTTGTTGATGGTTATGCTGTTTCATGGCATTTTCTTATATAATTGATGAGAGTTTGTTGTGTTGCTTAATGAAAATATCTGTGTAGCTCTTGGCTGAAGATTCTGCTTTGAAGAGATTCAAGTCTCATAAGAAAAGTGTGCACAAACTGAAGAGGATTGGAGATGTGCTCACAGTCGTTGTTGTTGGAGGTTAATCACTTAGTTCACAACTTTGTCAATGCTAATCAGTTTTGTTTTGCTTTGCTCTGTTAGTAGCCTAGACACATAATCTGGTGTAGGAATCATAATGAATATGAGCAAGAGATTCACTAGGCACACTTAGATAATGAATCTGAGTAAGATAGAAGCACGAATGTTTAGTAGCTTTTAAAACATTCCTCTACCAAATTTCCTCCTGAAATGTCACTTCATTGTCGGATCATTAGATAGTTGGATAGAAATAATACATAATCTACTAGTAAACTGAACAGTTTTCCAACTTTTTTCTGATGTACTTGGTAATATGAATTATGGAAATCACGAACCTACTCGGGGTTGTGCTTATCTCTCGTGTGTTGCTGCTTGTTTTTGTATCTTTCAGGATGCTGCTATGAAATCTTTGTCAAAGCTGCCATGAGAAAAGAAGCAATGGCTGCAGGAAAAAGCTCATGAGTCTGTCTTACTTGTCTTTTTTTTTTTTTGTGTGCCTTTTTTTATCCTATTCAATTCAAAACACGGACGATAGTTTATGTAATAATATTTTTTTTTAAATTAAGATCAGTCGGTTTAAGTATTAGGCCCAACAAAAGAAAAAGAAAAAAACATAATACTATATATATTTCTTCTCCCGCAAAACAAATCATGCAAAAATATATCTCAGAGGCTTGAACGTCGTTCTTCATCCGCCAGGAGGTTTGTTCTTTCCGACTATCATGTATCTTTTTCTTTCTTCGGTTGTTTGTTTTTTCGTCTATAGATCGTCTGATCTTATTTATAGTAGGAGTTGTTTTTTTAAAAAAAATATCAAAATTTTGTTGAAACTAACTAGGGTTTGCGAGCTGGATGTATTGTAATTTGTTTTTGACAGACTCATCATTGGGGATTTAGTTTACTCTATTGGTGATTATTATTTTAAATTTTTTAAGTATTTATTTGGAGCGATCTTTTTGCTCTGATATTGAGGATTTCTTTTAGTGTGATATTCAAATTTATTGTGTAGTACCAACACATATCATGAAGTTCATTATTAGATTATTGGTATTGCGTTTTTGAAAATAAACAAAATATATATATATTGAAGTTCACATGACATGACATTTGGTGTAAAATTTTAATCTTTTGCCAAAGGAATGACTAACTTACAATGAGTATCAATCATCAAGGCTTTTTAGTTTGATTCGATCTTTTATGCTCTCTGGGTTAGTTTGTTGATGATGGGGTTGATTGGTGGTGATTCAATCTCCTTATTCCAGTTTTAGTTTGTTGAATATCATCAACTAGCTTCTTTCTTGGTGGGTTGTTGCAGGTTTACTTTCTTAAAATGGGAGATATCATGGACGAGAAGTTGGGATATATTGTAATGGCCGACTTACAGACTCTCTTTGGAACTTTGAGAGGTTACACGAGTGAGGTGCTTCACAAGTTCTCTGGTCGTCCCAAGGGTCTGATGGAACCCGATTATACTCGAGCCGGTTTGGACGCTATGATTCTCTGTGTCGATAATCATTTTAGGAAAACTGCTGAGCTCGCCACACACTACTTCATCGATCCTTCAACAATGGAGCCTAATGTGGATGGGCTGATTCTGGTTGGTCCAGTGGAGCTTGAGTCTACATTTACTGAGTCAGATATGTTTCATCCCAAGCTTGCCAAAATTGTGAATGAGGTGAGAGTACTATGTGGTGGAGAAGTCGGTTTCAATCATGCTATCCATGTGACATCTAAAGTCCTGGCTAGAGACAGGCGTTTTATTGTCAAGTTGTTTGACGAGATATCCCAGGATACTGGCAAGTCTGTATATGGCCTGGATGAAACGTTGAAGGCCCTCGAGTCCAACTCTGGTGCTGCTGTCGACACACTTGTCGTTTGGGAAAATCTTGATATCAACAGATATGTGATGAAGAACCGTGAAACGGGCGAAACTGTGATAAAACACCTGAGCAAGGAACAGGAAGGCAACAAAGAGAACTTCAACAGTGGATTCAATGTGGAGGAGAAAATGTCGCTTGTGGATTGGCTGAGTAATGAATACAGACGTTTTGGTTGCGCCCTAGAATTTGTCAACAACAAAACACGTGAAGGTCGCCAGTTTTGCAAAGGGCTTGAAGGGATCGGAGCGATACTTCGTTACCCGCTTGACCTGAGTGCCATTGATCCTGAGGATGGAGAGCCTATACCATAATCTACCAGCTTGAGCTTATTATGCCAGACTAACAACTTATCTCTCGTGTGTTGATGCTTGTTTTGTATCTTTCAGGATGCTGCTATGAAATCTTTGTCAAAGCTGCCATGAGAAAAGAAGGTCTCTCTGACTGCAGGAAAAGGCTCATGAGTCTTACTTGTCTTTTTTTGTATGCCTTTTTTTTTTTTTCTTTCTTTCTCTTTATACATTCTATGTCTTTCTAATAATCTCACAATAATGTTTTGTTTACTCAACGAAAATGGCATCTAATAAAGTAGACAAAAAGAAAAAGACACTGTCCAGGGAAACCAAACTCTGTTTTCTTCTGTTCTTTTCTGCCGTTTTGTGGAATCTCTCTCTGCTTTTCCTTCTTTTTAAAAATTCCTTAGCTTTCATTTACTTGTACTTTGTTTTTATAGAAAATTCATACTTGTATTTTATACTCTCTCACGATAAATAATTTATCAATGGATTAGGTAACCTGCATATTATGTGAAATTCTGAACAGTCATCACACTTAATGGCTTGAATGAAATAATTTCGAAACAAGTAAAGACCGGATCTCAAACCGAAATCTAATTTTGACACCCTTAATTTTTCAACCTAATTGTGACTCAACGAGAACATATCTACACCACTGCCCACCACGTTTTTCACAAACCATGCAAGTTAAGATAATAGATACTAATAAAAAAAAAGGGTACAAGTAGAAAGAGCTTTCATGCTCCTATTTGATAATATTGGTTCACCAAAGATGTAACATTAAAAAAATGTTAGAATATTAGTTGAACCACCTAGGGGAACGTATAACGAAGAAGTCCAACAAATGAAGTTAACTTTTGCTTGATTTGCACATATTGATGTTTTGAAAGCTACAATCCATATGTTATATATTATCTACATTTGTACTCATAGTTGGATGTGTTGTCCAAATTCTATCAAATTTCTATGATCTTGATAGGTATGGAATTTCGTAAAAGAAACTCTAATTACTAATCCCATAAGATTATTACTTAAATGACCAACGTTAAAGTTGTATACAAATCATATTTCATCAAGTAGGAGTGCACAATAATTAGATTTATCTTTTAAAAAAAAAAAATATATCATCATACTAAACACCAAACCTCAAACGTATTTAAAGAGAGCATCATTAATAAACGAGTTAACCCATCATACAAAATAAAAATACTATATCCTACACTTAAACTAAACATCGTATTAACCCATCATTCAAGAGTAGTTGATCTAACTATATCGGTGTGTGATTCGTGAGGCGTATCATTTTTATACAACTTCTATTTGGTAAAGAAACTCACTAAAACCTTTGTCAAATTGTGTCCACTAATCTGTTCAAAGTTCAATCCGTAATTTTTTGTACCGAAATTACAACTAAATTTTAAATATTTGACTATGTTGAAAATAATAATAATGTTAGGGGTTTTGTGTGTGTATACACAAATTCCCAACAAAAAAGAGAAATTTCCAAAAATAAATAATTGAGGAAGACGAAGCGTGATTTCCTATTTCTAATACAAACATCATGACATGTTCCCGTGGCGTGAAATTTTATTTTTTTGGCAGACACCTAAAGAAACGGCATCGTTTCAGGTCATCATCTCTTCTCTGCTACTACTAGTGTTTTGCAGTCCTCTCATAATATATAACAACGGTTATAAAAGTCACAGAGCTAACACACAGACGATAAAAACTCACCTAGTGCGTCAAAACCTTCTATAATTAACCGACCGACCACCGTCAGGTCTTAAGCTTACACTAATGCCACTGCCACCGCTTATTCCGCCAGATCCACCACCGTCTCCGCCGCATCACTGATTTCGATAACCGTCACCGGAGAACCAAAAATAATCAATTAGAAATATGGCGACAACGAAGAACTCAAAGCAGAACATGTCCGTGTTGCTAACTAAGCTCGGGGATCGAGATACGTTCACAATGGCGGCTCGAGAGCTTGACTTAATGGCTAGACAGATTGATCCTTCTTCCTCCTCCGGGAATCTCCAGTCGTTTATATCCGTTATACTCTCCGCCGACACCGGAGATAAACCGGCGGTTCGTAAGCATTGTATTCACTTGCTCGCCGTTTTATCTGTTTCTCTTCCTATCAATTCTCTGTCTCCTTTCCTCTCTAAGATACTCACTCGCATCACGAGACGTCTCCGTGATCCTGACTCTTCGATTCGATCGAGTTGCGTCGCGGCTGTGTCGGCGATCTCTTCCCGCACGACGAAGCCTCCGTTTTATTCCGCGTTTATGAAGCCGTTGGCGGACACGCTTTTCACCGAGCAGGAGGTTAATGCGCAGATCGGAGCGGCGCTTTGTCTCGCGGCGGCGATTGACTCGGCGTCTGATCCGGATCCGGTTCGGTTGGGGCAGACGCTTTTGCCGAGATTGGAGAAGCTTGTCAAGTGTAATGCGTTCAAGGCGAAATCGGCGGGAGTTGTTGTGATCGGAAGTGTGATTGGTGCTGGTGGTTTGTCCGGAATCTTTATGAGCTCCGGAGGAATGAAAGGACTAGTGGATTGCTTATTGAGCTTCTTGGTTAGTGAAGATTGGGCAGCGAGGAAAGCAGCTGCTGAAGCTTTGGGGAGGTTAGCTACGATGGAGAGAAATGAGTTAGGTGAGTTCAAGGCTAAATGCTTGAAGATCTTTGAAAGCAGGAAATACGATAAGGTTTGGTTTTCTTCATCTTGAAACTTTTCATTTGAATGTAAGGTTTGGTTTAAACATGATCACAGATTTCAATTTTGATATTGCTCAGGTGAAAGCTGTGAGAGAGGTGATGAATCAGATGATAGAAGCATGGAAACAGGTTCCAGATTTGTCAGAGGAGGTTTCTCCACCCAGATCTAATGCCTCTTCTAAAGGTATCTTCGTTTACCGTTGGATCTTTAGCCAAAACAGGAAACTTTCTCTTGTTTGGTACAATAGTAGTAACTTGGTTAGATCCTTTGCGACTGTTTGACCAGTTTTTTTTCCAGCGTGTTCCTTGTAAGGATTCGTTACTAAGATCTTTGGTTGCTTACTTGTCCTGTTTTCTTGATTCTAGGTGATGCAAGTGATGGACGATACCCTTCAGGCTCTAGAGTTGCTTCAACACCTGGTAAATCAAGAACTCATCTGCTTAACAGATCGACTCCACCGGGAAGCTCACTAGCCACCACGGCTAGGAAACAGGCTCTCAGAAAAAGCATTGATCAGAAGAAAACCAGTCTAACAGCATCAAATACAAAAGCAAATGTAAGGAGAAGATTGGACTTTAAAGCTGGAGGAGCTAGTATTCCCACAAATGTGTCTCTTGAAGACGAACATAACGAGAACGCAATGGAAACGAGTCATGTTAGTCACGATAGGATGCAGAAGCTAGGAGGTGTGTCCAGTTCTCTGATTGGGAATATCCCACCATCCGGTGCTACAGTGGCATCAGGACATCATGTCTTGTCTGAAAACCCAAATACTAGTAACTGCAAAGGGCTTGAAGATATATCTCTGATCCGTAATCAGCTTGTTCAGATTGAACAACAGCAAGCCAATCTTATGGATCTTCTTCAGGTTTGTTCTAAGACATGATGATGATCTTTCCTAAGTTACATAACATCCAGATTGACTTTCGTTTCCTCTGTTCCTGAAACTCAGTCTTTGTGAATTTTTTTTTCTGTGGTCATCAGAGATTTGTCGGCAGCTCACAACAAGGAATGCATGGTCTAGAAACACGAGTTCAGGGCTTAGAACTAGCACTGGACGAGATATCCTATGACTTAGCGGTTTCAAATGGGAGAATGAGTAACGGTTCAAGCAAAAACAATTGTTGTCTCCTCCCCCATGGAAGTTTCATTAGATCCAAATTCTGGAAGAAAGACGATTCAAAACATTCAGCATCGAGGCTGTCCACTTATAGGAACAGAAATGGAGAAAGCACACGGATACAAAACTCGAGGTGTCGATTTGATGGCTCTCCTGGATTTATAGTCAACCCATTAGCTGAAATTCGACCAGATAATGGATCTGCAGGTAAATAAGTTGTGTTATGAAGATTCTAGTCAATGTTCCTTCTTCTGTTTTGTCCATAACATACTTAAGAATATCTAATATCTATGATTCTTTTTGTAGGTATGTCTCACAATTGAGGGACGAAGAGCAACAAAACCTTCAAAGCTTCAGAGACATTAAAACCACTTATGTGTGAATGTGGTGATTCATACTGATTGATAAGTTATGCATATTACTACCCTAAGTTCTCTCAACCGTTTAGTGTTTTCTTTTCTTTTCCTTAAAAGTAAATTCTACTAATTAGATCGAGATCAAAGATATCTTCAATGAGTTCTTTGCATGTGGTGCTTATAATCGTTATTTGGTAAATGAGTTTCAATTTTCGTGTAATATACGTATATCACAAACAATGACTTGGTAAAGTCTGTAAATATTGAAGTATTCTTGTAAGGGTTTAAATATAAACAAGATTAAAACATATATGATATAAAAAAAGTTGACCAGAGTAGGTAGCTGCCTTCTAAAAATTCACGGACTGAATAGCAAGGGAGTCTCTTTCGTTTTCGAACTATGACCCTATAATCTATTCTATTGTGCCTAGATGGTTAAATCCCAATAGTGGAATCAGATTATGTGATGTAAGAACTTTGATTAATGAATAATTGTTGTTGAGCCAAAAAATAAAATTAAAAAATAAAAAAAATCACGGACTGAATAATGGAAGTAGTTGGCAAACTGTTTTTATGGAATTTTATCTCTCTTTGGTTGAATTAATTATTGCTAAAAACTGTTTGCATTCAACTGATTATTATTGAAACTAAAAATAGTCTTTTAAAAAATGGAGAGCGAAGGCGATTTGAGAAGTACAGAACGTGAAGCTACTATGATGGAGATCGGTGAGAAGGAGCACCCTCCGGGAGACCCGCCGGACGCTGGAGGTTCGTGGGCGCAAAGGGCTGCTGGAGGGAGTTCAGGGGGAAGGGTGAATCCGGAATCGGTGCTGTCTGAAGATTTTGTAGAGGCGCGACTGAATCTCGAGTTCCCGGATGTAGAGGATGGTGAACCTGTGTTTACGGTCGGGCAGGAGGTTGTGGAGGCCATGAGTGGCCTATGGAAACAGTGTATGATTGTGAAAGTTTTCGGTAAAAACATCTCTATTGCGGCGATGAGTAGGAAGCTGAACGAGTTGTGGAAGCCTCGAGGGGCGATGCACGTGTTGGATTTGCCGAGGCAGTTCTTCATGGTGAGGTTTGAGATTGAGGAGGAGTATTTGGAAGCTTTAACGGGTGGTCCATGGAGAGTGTTTGGCAGCTACCTAATGGTGCGTGCCTGGTCTCCAGACTTTGATCCGCTATGAAACGAGATCTTGACCACGCCGGTGTGGGTGCGGGTGTCTAATATTCCGGTGATCTTTTATCATAAAACGATTTTAATGGGTTTGCTCGTGGTTTGGGAAGATCTATCAAAGTGGATTTGAACACGATGAACATTGAACGAGCTAGATTTGCGAGGATTTGTGTGGAGGTGGACCTAAAGAAGCCGCTAAAAGGGACAATAATGATGAATTGTGAACGTTATTTTGTGTCCTACGAAGGGCTGAGTTCGGTTTGCTCGGGCTGTGGGGTATACGGGCACTTAGTGCATTCTTGTCCGAGACGCGTCCAGGAGAATGATGTAGGTCTGACCGCTAGGAAGGAGGCGGAGTTGGCGCAAAAAAACATGCCGACGGCGGATGGGTTTACTGAGGTGAGACGGCGGGCGAGAGGACAGACCTCACCGAAGACAACCCAGACAACAGGCGGATCAAGCCGAGATTCCGAGCGTAATCTCCGGGAGATTACGATCCCGAATATTAGGAATGTTGACATTTCTAATCGATTTGCTGATTTGGAAAGCGCAGATACAGTTTCGGACGAAAGGGAAGAGAATATTAGTTTGGCCGATAATAAGGAAAACGTGATTGTTTCTTTCCAAGCACGGAAAGAGAAAGGTGTGCAAGCAATTAAGGAGAGTCTTCCCGGGCGTGCTGCTTCAGGAATTAAAGGGCCACATGATGGACCCAAAGAACGACCGGCCCACCAGAAAAAGCCATTGGGCACTATGGAAAGAACAAAGTACGCAAAGCAAGGAAGGCCCGTTAGAGGATTAGTTTTCGGCCCAACAGCGATAGAGAGGCCTTCGTTAACGTCGGGAAAGCGTCTTCGGGTGGAGACAACGGGTGTGGGCAGACCGGGTGGAGTGTTCATGCGTGATGGAGGTGAACAAGTAACGGTTTTGCCTATTATGAGCTCGGAGAGGGAGTTAACAGATATGAGCCGAGGTAAGCCTGGAGACCTGATGGAGTCGTACGATGAAATGAGGCGGGGTGATTTGTCTTTGAAGAAGACAAGCGAGTGTGAAGCATAACGGTTCTCCCCTGTGGTTTATTGTCAGATTGTCAAAGATCTTATGAATTGTCTTCTTTGGAACTGCCGGGGGACTAATAAACCTAATTTTCGACGTTCTATCCTCTATATGTTAAAGAAGTTTAGCACAGATGTTCTAGCTATTTTCGAGACTCATGCGGGAGGGGACCGGGCGAAGCAAATTTGTCAAGGACTTGGTTTTGATAAGTCATTTCAGGTTGATGCTGAGGGTCAGCGAGGGGGTCTGTGGCTGTTATGGAGATCGGGGGTAGGGAATGTGGTGATCGTTGCGTCCTCGAATCAGTTTAATTGTGCTAAAGTAGAGAATGGAGTGGAATCACTGCATTTGATAGTGGTGTACGCTGCACCAACCGTGAGTCGTAGGAGTGGGCTTTGGGGGGAGTTGCATGAGGTTTTTCAAAGTATTGATGGTCCGTTCTTTGTGGGAGGGGATTTTAATACCACTATGCGACTAGATGAACGAACTGGTGGAAGTGGAAATTTATCGGGTGATTCCTTGGCATTTGGAGATTGGATAAATGCAAAGTCATTAATTGATATGGGGTTCCGGGGTAATGCGTTTACTTGGCGGAGAGGAAAACAACAACAACATTTTGTTGCTAAACGTTTGGATCGTGTTCTTTGTAATCCTCACGCACGGCTTCAATGGCAAGACGCGTCGGTTTTACACATGCCGTTTATGGCATCAGATCATGCCCCGCTCTACCTTCAGCTGAACCCAATGGTTCGTCGTGACCCGGGGCGAAGGCCTTTTCGGTTTGAGGCCGCTTGGCTTACGCATCAAAGCTTCAAGGAGCTTTTGATTTCTTCTTGGCGTTGGGATTTGACTACTCCGGATGCGTTGTTGAATCTTAAAGACACCTTGAAAAGATGGAACCGTGAGATATTTTGGGATGTCCATCAGCGTAAGGAGAAATTGATGGGAGAAATTAAGTTGGTGCAGGATATTTTGAATTCAAACCAGACTGATGAGCTTCTATTGAAAGAGGGGGTGCTCTTAAAGAAGTTGGCCAAGTCCTTGAGCAAGAAGAAACGCTGTGGTTCCAAAAATCGAGAGAGAAATGGATTACTCTTGGGGATCGTAATACAAGCTTCTTTCATACTTCTACTATCATTTGTCGAAGAAGCGTGGGTAACTAGTGTGCCGGAGTTTGAGGAATTAGCCACTACGTACTATAAGCGTCTTTACTCTCTGAACGATGTTGACTCTGTGGTTGCTGGTTTACCACGGGACGGATTTTATCGCCTTTCTAGTGCCGAACAAGGAGAGTTAAACAAGCCCGTGTTGAGGAAGGAGGTTGAAACTGCTATTCGTAGTATGGGAGCTTTCAAGGCGCCCGGGCCGGATGGTTACCAACCTCTTTTTTACCATAAGTGCTGGGAAACGGTTGGTGACTCTGTGGTGCAATTTGTGTTGGACTTCTTTAAGACAAGTGAACTGCCTCATGGTGTGAATGACGCGCTTGTTGTGTTGATAGCAAAAGTTGCTAAGCCGGAGAGAATAACTCAGTTTAGACCGATCAGCCTCTGTAATGTGCTTTTTAAGACAATAACCAAGGTCATGGTTATTCGTTTAAAGATGGGGATCACGAAGTTAATAGGCCCAGCTCAGGCAAGTTTTATCCCCGGGAGACTTAGCATTGACAATGTTGTAGTAGTGCAAGAGGCTGTTCATTCCATGAGAAGGAAAAAAGGCCGAAAAGGATGGATGTTGCTCAAGCTTGACTTGGAAAAAGCGTATGATCGTATAAGGTGGAACTTTTTAGAAGATACTCTCATTGCAGCTGGATTGTCTGATCTATGGGTCAAGTGGATCATGAAATGTGTCACAGGCCCCTCTATGAGTATCATGTGGAATGGAGAGAAGACAGAGCCGTTTACTCCCGCGCGTGGGCTGAGGCAAGGCGACCCGTTGTCTTCTTATTTGTTTGTTCTGTGCCTTGAGCATTTGTGTCATCAGATTGAGGGGGCTATTGGTAGAAAAGAGTGGAAACCAATCCGTTTGTCACAAGGAGGCCCGTTGTTATCTCATATTTGTTTTGCGGACTATTTGATCTTATTCTCGGAAGCTTCCATAGCACAGATCAAGGTCATCCGGGGTGTGTTGGAGAGGTTTTGTGTGGCGTCTGGCTAGAAAGTAAGCTTAGAAAAGTCTAAGATTTTCTTCTCCGGTATTGTTTCTCGGGACTTGAAGAGTTTAATCACGGAGGAGAGTGGGATTAAGGCGACAACCGACTTAGAGAAATACCTTGGAATACCGGTGCTGCATAAGCGGATTAATAAGCAAACGTTTAGCTCAGTTTTGGAGAGAGTTTCTTCTAAGCTCGCGGGTTGGAAGGAGAGAAGCCTGAGTTTGGCAGGCCGGTTAACCCTTACAATGGGTGTTCTTGCCTCGATCCCTGTTCATACGATGAGTGTGATATCTATGCCACAAGCGTTGTTGGAGGAGCTTGATAAGTTGTCTCGCTCCTTCTTGTGGGGTAGCTCAGCTGAAAAGAAGAAGCAACATTTAATCGCGTGGCCTAGAGTTTGTCGACCGAAAGCAGAGGGTGGAGTCGGGATTCGAGGAGCTAGAGATACGAATACAGCTTTGTTGTCCAAGGTGGGGTGGCGGTTGCTTCAGGACCAAACCAGTCTTTGGGCAAAAGTCTTGAGGAAGAAATACAGAGTGGGCGACCTTAAGTCGTTAACTTGGCTTAAAAGGAAGAATAATTGGTCCCCGACCTGGAGGAGCATTATGTTAGGAATGCGAGAAGTAGTTATACCAGGCCACAGTTGGGTCTTGGGTGATGGAAAGGATGTGTTATTCTGGCAAGATCGATTGCTATTACCGAATGCTATAATAGAGGAAACAGGTGGAGGATTACCGGCTTCTCGGGTTAACGAGCGGGTTAAGGATTTGTGGCGAGATGGGATAGGCTGGGATTTTGATCGTATTGAACCTTTCATATCTCATGATTTGAGATTAAAACTTGGGTCGGTGGTTTTAGATACCATGACAGGGTCATGGGACCGGATCTCTTGGGGGGGAGAACCCGGATGGCCAGTTCACGGTGACATCCGCTTATAAGCACCTAACAAAGGATCATGAGCCAAGACCTAATATGGAGAAGTTCTGGGGACGAGTGTGGAGTGTTGTAGCTCCTGAGCGGGTAAGGATATTCCTATGGCTTGTTGGAAACCATGCTATCATGACCAACTCGGAACGGTTCCGGCGTCATCTAAGCACTTCCTCAATATGCACGATTTGTAAAGGAGGGACGGAGACTATCATCCATATCTTGCGTGACTGTCCAGCCATGTCGGGACTCTGGCAGCGGATCATTCCCGGTAGAACGAGACAAAGCTTCTTTGATTCTCCGTTGTTGCAATGGTTATATGAGAATTTATTGGGAGAACGGAGACGGAGGATTCGGCTTGACCGACGCTTTTTGCGATGGCTATTTGGTGGGGGTGGAAATGGCGCTGCGGGAATGTTTTTGAAACCACGAGTAAGTGTCGAGTCCGGGTGAAGTTCATTAAAGATTTGGCGAGAGAAGTACTGGCGGCCAAGGCTACTCAAAGTGGGGAACGGGTTAGTACCGCGCGTGTTGAGAGGATGATTGCATGGTCCCCTCCGAGGGTGGGTTGGTGGAAGATAAATACCGATGGGGCGTTTAGGGGAAACCCGGGGTTGGCTACAGCTGGGGGGTGATCCGGGATGCGGAAGGGACGTGGATAACAGGTTTTGCTTTGAATATTGGGATTTGCTCGGCCCCGCTGGCGGAACTATGGGGGGTTTATTATGGTTTGTGTATGGCTTGGGATCGTTATGCTACTCGGGTTGAGTTGGAGGTGGACTCGGAAATAGTGGTGGGTTTTCTCAAGACAGGGATCAGCGATGCTCATCCGTTGTCTTTCCTGTTACGGTTGTGCCATGGCTTTATATCGAGGGACTGGATTGTACGTATATCTCACGTGTATAGGGAGGCTAATCGCCTGGCGGACGGATTAGCTAACTTTGCGTTTACTCTAGACTTGGGTCTTCAGTTTTTGGGTATTGCTACGGGGTGTGTTGAGGAGATTGTTGACGAAGATGCTCGTGGAATGGCGTTCCCACAAAGAATTTGTGTTTAATTTTTTAATTTTTTCTTTTTCTTTTAATTAGGGAGGTTTCCTGCGTTTGTATCACCAAAAAAAAAACTGATTATTGAGTGTCACATGTGACTTCATCATGGGCAATTAAACAATTTAGTAGGTCTCAAAAGCAAGTAACAAGAAAACTTTACATAGCACTGATTATTTAATTTATTAGCATGGAATACATACATATATTTGAGTATGGGCAACTAAAAACCTGAAAAACAACACTTATAATTAATTTTTGTAAGGAATATACAAGGGTTTTATTTCTCTGTTCTTTAGATTCTTCTCACATGAAATCTAAATTAGTAAATATACTCAACAGAAGGGAGGTAAACATAATGCTCAATCAATGGTTTTAATATAAAGTAACTTTAGAGAAAACAAAGGGTGTGAAGCTGATTATCACCAAGATGTTCACTGAGCTTGAGACAAGACAGCAGTAATTGCGTGAAAAGTGCAGACACAGAAATGCATACTTGCTAATTACTATGTTGCAAAGTTTATTGACATAAAGTAAAAGAAAAAGGAATCATGTGAACGGTGAAAAAGAAAAGAAAAAAAATCCTCGTAAGGACTCTCAAACATTGGCTACCTTAGACTAATTGACAATTATCATAGTTACCATAGTTAGTTGAGTGACGGTTTTAAATTTTAACTAATAATTTTCCATACTCTAAAGATTTTAATCCGTGGTATTATTTCGGGGATTTTTTTTATTTTTTTCTGTAAAATTACATATTTTTGGAATTTATAGATGTATCAGAGTTACTTTTTAAGATTGTATAAATCTAATATTAATTAAATCAGTTTCATTTACCATAATTATATTAGTGTTGTTAAAAAATATTAAAATAAAAATTTGTCCCATATTGAAGTATTAAATTAATGATATATAAGTTTTTAGTAATAGCGATTTAAAACCGTCACGCAATATAACTCATCCGTGTTATTGTTATTATATATATATATATATATATATATATATATATATATTTATATTTATTTATTTATTTATTTATTTGTCAACATAATGATTTGAATTAGCCCATAAGAGCCAATTGGGAGGACTCAAGTTATTTTATATTAATTATAATATTTTAACTTTTTAAAAAGTTTTAAATTGGTTAAATATGGTAAAATTAAACAGTTGAGCTAAACACTGAATTAAATTATATACAAACTTTAAATTTAAGATGTTTATTAAATGAAAATTTATGTTTTCTACTCATTCAGATTCGAACTCATTTTGATCTAATGTATAATATGACTTTAAATCATCCTCAAAACATTTTAGACGAGCGACGTTGAATATATATTTTAATTGATGACAAAAATATATATTTTAATATTAATTAAGTGATATATGTCTGTTTTACAAAATATACAAAAATGATTTTACTAATTTTCATGTGTTTTATGATGGTTCAAAATAATAAAAATAAAACATCAAACAAATATGATATAAAAAAAAGATTTCCCGAAAATTATGAAAACCAAATTTTAGAAGATTTTGCTGATTTCTTCTCAAAATCCAAAAGCCACATTTTGTTGGGTTTTTTTTTCTTTTCTCCACGTGAGTTGCATTTTTTCCATTTTTCACTATCCAAAATTTTGTTTTATTAAAAAATCTAAATTTCAAAAGAGAATTTAACAATAACAGAGATATTTTCCACCGCCACTATTATCTTCGTCACTGTCACCATCACCACCGACCACCACCTCCGTTTACCATCACCACCGTCACCTCCAGCCGCCGACCACCATCACTTCCGACCATCGGCCACCGTCACCGTCGATCACCGTTGGTCACCACGACCCTAGAACCACCCACCAGGCCACCACTATTACCAACCCATCACAATTCCAAAATTGTAATTTTCCCTATCCCTAATCGTGTTTTCCTAATTTTTTCAAATAATATATTATATTCTTTATTTTGATATCTCAAATAATTATTCACCTAATGCACCTATTTCAAAAAGGGAAAAATGTCAGTTAAATCACGAACTTTCAAATTTTGGCCATTTAAATCACGAACTTTCTATATGGCCATTCAAAACATGAACTTTTCGTTAACTTAATTTTTAAAACATTATCTTTCGTTGACCAGGCCGAAATGAACACCATATCCTCAAATTCGTTGACAAAGCAGCTAACCATCGTTAATCATATTTTTTAGTGAGAAAAACGTCGTTTAATGCTAAAATGATATTTCAAAATCGTGATTCTAACGTCATAATCCAAAAATCAAATCCCTACTTTCTCACTTTGTTTTAGCCTTAACCGACGTCGTCTCTTACTAATAGAGATGAATTAGTGATGGCTAAATGTTTGTTAGTTATTTTGTAACAAATTTTTGGATATGATATACAATTTGGCTTTGTTAACGAAAGATAATGGTTTAAAAACTAAATCCAAAAAAAATTCATACTTTAAATGGTCATATAGAAAGTTCGTGATTTAAATGACCAAAATTTGAAAGTTCATGATTTAAATGACATTTTTCCAATTTCAAAAACCATTAAAAATTTTAAAAACACTAAAATGGTGACATTTTTTTTTGTAACATTTCAAAAATATCAGTATAGACTATAGATTAACAGAAAAAAAATTAACAGAAAAAATGTTAATTACAGACTGTCAGACTTACAGTGTTTCTTTTTTAACACCAAGAATGTTAATTACGGGTTATTGAAGTTGGAGAAAAGAAAAATCTTTCCCGTCATCTTCGATTTGTCGCTTTAGATCTCCAAGTTCATCATTTCTGGGACAGTTCATCCTTTGAGGCAAGTTCATCGGGCAAATTCAACTTTACAATTCCACTTTTTTGCTTAGGAATCTGGGTTTCTTCAACAAGTTCCTTATTCTCTTTTCCGGAACAGGTTAGGTTATTTGAAATGGAAAATCGAGAAGATTGTGGATCTTTGCTGTTACAACTCAAGGTTCGATTTCTATTTTGTAGATTCATTTTTAACCCATACATGTACTTAGGTGAAGTGTTTGTTTGTTTAGTCAATATGTAGAGTTATTGGAGATTCGGTGGAGGAAGTAGATGAAATCTTGATGGCTTTGAACTTGGGCTGCAATGAACTTTACAAGGCGAAAGTCAGGGAAGCTGAAAAACGCAGAGTTCAGATGGATGACCAAATCAAATCGACTGAATTAGAAATTGCTAAAATGAAAGAATTTTTGGGAGAAAGCTCATCCCAGGTAACACCACTTTGAGGATTGATACAGTAAAATGTTTTACTGTTTCCATTGTTAGGAATTATTAAACATTTTTCATGTTAACAGCAAGAACGACCTTCTGGGGGCTTGAAAAAGCACCTTGAATCCGTTCTTCTGACAATGAACGAGCTCATTGTGAAGAAAACTGAAAGAAAGAAACAATTCCGTGAAATTCTACTTGAAATTGTCAAGATCGATAGGGCCTTACATCCAGGACGTCTAGATGAGGCCTCCTCATGTCAAATTGATTGGTCTCGCTATTCTGATGGGGTGTTTAGAAAGTTACAGCGTGAGCTTAACGCACTTCAAACTGAGAAGGTGAAGTTGGTTTAAACTTGCATATTCGTTCGTTTTTGGGTTTGGTTATTACAAGATTGCACTTAACATCTATTTTACTCTCTTTTTTACGGTGTTGTCTCCCATCAGGATGATCGTGTGCTGGAAATTAAAAAGCTCTGGAGTACTTTAAAGTCACATTGTTCAGTACTTCACCTGGATACCAATAATTTCTTTTCCCCAATGAATCCTACATCAACTAATCCCGAAGGAGAAAGCATAAGTGATGATACAGTTAACAAATTGAGGATTGAAGTTCAAACGTTGGGGAAGCTTAAGACAGAGAGAATCCTTAAGGTGAAGTAATAATATTACTCTGAGGGCTCATGTAGAATTTGATTTGCTTTCGGTTCTCATGTTCTTGTGTTAAATTTGATGTAGGCTAGAGCTTTTGGAACAACCATGAAATCACATTGGGCTTTGTGGAAAACACCTGACGAAGAGAAAGATGAGTATGTAACTATTTTCTACAAGTTAGCTGCCCCAAAAGATGAGATCAATGACGCTGCTATTCTATCTGAAGAAACTCTTCGACGTGTAAGTTGTGTTTTGGACTTTATTGTCACCTTGACCAACCTTTATTACTTAGGGGGTAAACTTCAAGTGTGTTATAAAAAACGATTTTTCGTTGCCACAGATTGAGGAAGAACTTCATAGATTACAGGAAGTTACAAACGGGTACATACAAGTCTTCCTTCTTTTTTTGTTACTACTTAGATTAATTCATCTCCTAATCTGTCTATTGTGATGTAGCTCATAAGAGAGCAGGGCCAGAGACTGTGGACAGGTGGTGCAACCATGAACCAACCAAAGACTTTCCTTGGGAGCATTGTGAACTAGGAGGAAAATTAAGTCCAAATTGTTTATTTTTCACATTAACTTTCCCATTTTCTTACTCTGCTCCTTAATGATATTCTGCATATGTTCAATATCTATGGAATGCTGCCCTTTTTCATCTTATCCTCTTATCATTCTCTACCTTATATTATTGCCGTAGTTCTTTGGATGCGTTCTCTCTTTACAGCTGGATGACTAGAGTATTGGCTCTGTTGAATAGAATCATCAGCTCCTTTGGATCTTGCTCTCTCTGAGTCTATGGCTTCAATGCTATCTACTCTATCACCAGCTGCTCTTTTGTTGTATTGGTAACATCCGTGGAGCGAAAGAAGCGAGCCTAACTGTTGAAAGATATCAGATTAAAATGTAAGAAACTTGAGAAATGTCACAAACAAGCAAAGTAGTCAAGTTTTGAGACAGAACATTACTCCAAAATAGAGAGTGATCAGAGCAAAAGTCCACCTGCGAATAAAAACAAGAGAGGCCAGGAAAAACCGATTAGAGACAAGTACATAGACATTGGTTAATGTAATAGTCAAGAACAGTTGTTACCCTCTATCATAATCAAGAATGTTACATTATTGCTCCTATATGCTTGTAAAGTTGCAATATATGCTTATGAAGCTGCATACTATTTAATTGCCCCCTAAACGATTCAACAATATTTCAGTTTTTTTTTTTGGAATAAAAGCAACCACAAATCTTAAATAAACTGACTCATAATCAAGAATGTCACATTCGTGTATCAATGCTTGTGAACCTACAATATCTTTTAAGTTGCCAGATTAAAATTCAAGCAAAAGTTTCGATCTTTTCCTAAAACCCATTCTTGCCTCAATGCATGTGAACCTACGAAATCTTAAACCACAAACAAAACGATTTAAGAAAAGTATCGATTTTTATTTCGAAACCCCAAAAGAAATCCAGAGAGACAGAAAGAGAAAGCTTACTGTGTGTAGTAGAAGAAGATGGTCGGTCCATCGACGAGGCCAATAACAATCAACATAATAAGAAGAACGAAGAAGGCAACGACTCGAAAAGCAAGAAGCCAAGCTGGATGAATATTACGAAGACAAGGCCTCCAAGTCTCGTCTTCATATACATTTCCCGACCACTCTTTCTCTCCTCCGTCGGCATCACCGTCACTGCTTCGTTTCCGGCGATAACCTTCGTATTTGAATATAAGAAAAGCAGTGATCACAGTGGCTACAGCCATCCATACACAGCATATCATTACCCTCCAATTAAACCAGTAGCTTGATTCAGTTGTGTCCACCGCTGTTGTTGATGGATGCCAAGCATCTTTGAGCTCTGTATACGAAGATGGAGATAACAGTGATGAAGATGAAGCCATTTTGATAAAGTTTTCAGTTTTTCAGAGAGAAGAAGGCGATAAGTATTATTTTTTTGTGGGTTCAATGTTGGAAGAAGAAACAGAGTAGAGAAGAAACAAAAACAGAGTAAAGACAGTGTGGTTTTATTAGGATTAATGTGAGAATAAAATTTAGAAAGAATTTATAAAAAAAAAAATACAAAGGTCTAGGGAAT